GTTTATTAATTGCCTATATTGTTACTGAAAATTTTCATTGAGACATGTCTTTTGCATGGCAAAACTTATCTGGTGTTAACCAAATCTCTCACACCAGCTGTATAGAATTGCATGTATTTTCCTTTATTCTTTAGGGAACTTCTGGGAACAGAGCTCTGTGCAGGGTCACACTTGCAAATGAGCACCAGCAACTTGTTTCCTAACAAGGTTGTGGGTTTGATACCCACGCAGGCCATTCACTTAAAAGTGATCTTATGGGTCCCTTCCAACTCAGAATATTCTGTGATTCTGTGATGTTTCACCCTTTTTTTATTAATTTATCCAGGCATTTCAGATTATGTTCTTTTCTTTATTGGGGATACCAGCAATGAGATTTTTAGATTCACAGCTGAGCATTTACACATGCACATCTGTGCATCTTTGATGCTCTGATAGTCACTCAGTTATGGATAAGAAAAGAGAAACTAAAAGAGACAAGATATCTTTTAAGGAGAAGTCAAAGTATAAATCTGTGCATTACAATGTTTTTGAGTACTTATACAAAGCAAATCTTTGACAAAAAAGATGAAAAGATTCATTGTAAAAAGGTCAAGAACCTATAGTAGGACTACTGGTTCCAATTGCATTCTCTGTGAATTCAGACTTTGAAAAAGACCTTCCAGGAGATCTTGGATGGACTGAAAATGGACTAAAATGAACTGAAAATTCAGTTCAGCTGAGAATTGAAGTTACAGACAATTGAAAATTGATATTTGCTTTTCATCAGAAAGATGATGAAAATCTCAGTTATGAAACATAAGTAAAGTTGCTTATGGAAAGGTATGTGTTGAAGTATGTGCTTTTTTCCAGCATATTTTTCTCAAACTTCCTTGAGGACTGGAACAAAATCTTAGTTTGCTGATGGTTTTAAGTGGCTCCATTTTGGCCTTTCCATGGACTAGAGCACCTCCCATCCTTTGTGTTGCAGAAAAAACCTTGGAGTGTATGATTGAGCAGCCATTCCAAGGAAATATTATCCTTACAGGGTAATTGAGTCTCAAAAAATGCCACGTGCTGGTATGGTAAGTGAATGGTGATGCTGAGAATCAGTCTAACACCCTCATGTTGCCTTTAATTAAACATTGATGTTTGTCTACTCATGGATTTCGTTTTTTTTTATTTTTCCAAGAATAAATCCCTGAGAATATCTTCTGTAGCAGAAGTCCCACTGAATGCAAGAAGGCATGTGTGCTCATACAACTCTCTGTGTGACTGCTGGGTTTGCAACTAGAATTATCCTGCCCAGCTGCTCAAGGAAAAACTTCTCCTAAACCCAGTATGATTTGGTAGAGTTAGAACTGTCAGAGAAACTAATCTAGGTTTCAGGATAATATAAATATTCTTACTCTGTCATTTCATTCATTTCATCTTTTTTCTGCAAGAATTGTCATTTGAAAATCTCAACACAAAGCACTTTTCAATACCTCATTGAGCTTGGTTGATGCTAATTTTGCCTGCTTTCCTCTTTGAAGGATTCAAGTTGACTGGACTCTTGACTGACCCACAGATGATCTTGCAGGTTAACTTCAAGAAGAAATCTAATGATCATTATCTTGTCTTGATTAAGAACTAAACACAACACCTTCCTTTCAGCACAATTTTCCAGCAGTAAGTCCCTCCCTCACAATCTCTAACACACTCTCCCATGCACCTAAACAGTCAGGAATAAACAAGAAAACAAACCCTAGCAAACTGCTTCTCTCACAGACTGAAGGAAGCTTATTTTTCAGATCTGAATTTGAAGCACATGTGTCAACTATAAAATGCATCTGTGTTTTATACAGAATTTAGAAGGCAACAGCTTATGTTAATTTGTTTTGTTGGTTTTTTTCCTACTACTAGCACAGCATTAAAAAAGATCCCTGTAGTGCTTTAACAGTCTGCATCTCACACAGTTGGAAGTTTTCTGCTCTACTTAATATTACTGTATACAGTACTTCCTTGTACTTTAAAACTTCTTTTTGGTATATACAGTATTTCAAGTTCAACTGAGATGTCATTATTAAATATCTAGAGATTGAATATATGGTACCAGACAATGAGAGAACACCATCCCATAAAACAGAACATACAAATAATTTTCACAGTTCTAACAAAAGAAGGTCATACATAAAAATGTCACAAATAGCTCAGTACAGAGTATGATTCAACATAATATTAAGTCCAGCTAATAGTGTCACATATTAAGGGCCAAATCCTGGCTCAATGTGCAGTTGAAGCCTAAAAAGATGTTTAGAGAAAATAATGTAAAGCCAACCTGTAGTGTTGTATTGGTAACAATACCAGTTGTTAATCTACCTAAGATTTTTGGCCTGAAGTATGTACCTAACTTGTGCTACAGAAGGAACACATGGCCAGTTGTATTTGCCTCCTGTCCTAGGACATGTCAGCATGTTGTGGCCAAAGGCACTGGAGGCAACAGAGCAGTCTTCCTTCTAGGTATGACAGTTTTACCTACTGTTCTGCCAGAATTTGGCCAAGAGTTCGAAATCCTGTACATCTTATTCAGTAGTCCCACTGAAGTCAATGGAACCTTTTTTTGCGAGTAAGATGAAAAGGATTTGGCCCCCAAAGTTTTTAACCCTTTAAGTAGTAAGAGAGAAGTTTCATTGCACTTAGCCCATCATTCATAAATAATTTACTACTCAAAAACAAGATGGTTGTTGATGTACATGAAGTGCTAGCTCATAAACAGGAAAGCATGCAGCAGTGTCTGACTATTCATGGCATTTTGGAACTGAATTCCTAAAGGGAGAAAGAGACACTTGCACATGACAATTCCATCCAATGTCTGTTTGAGGCCATAATAGTAGTTTTTCAATTCATAAATGCAACCTTATGGATACCTTATAAAAACAAAATAACTACACCATGTATACAGTTACAATTGAATGTGTACAGGTGTCTTCATTGGACTGGATGGAGAAAAAAATTTTACAAAAAAAATATTGGAACAGATGGTTATTTCTAAAGAGCTTCCTAAATGCATTCATATGGAACATGTGGTCATGACTTGGGAAAAGAGAAATTTTTCTCTCCTTCAGGAAAAAAGATTTGGTGACTGGAATGGGAAAGAACAGAATTTTCATACTTAATGTTACTCTGTTCCACATTTGTTATTATTTGAATTACATAGAGTAGAGGACACCTATATGCCAATTGAATGAATCAAAATTATATGACAGTGTTTCTCTGACCACAAGTCATTGGTGGCAGTAGATTTAATAACATACAGCACTCAAAAATACAATTTGAAATTCGAAATTGTATAGTCAGGATGCAAACTTGAACTCTAAGTTAGAACTGGAAAACAGGACTGAGTACCATGGAGTTTAATCCCAACTGACAGAGTGAATTACTTCATTTCTAATACCATGTCACGCTTATGCTGATCCTCAATTTGCAGCTTTAACAAAGCTACAAAGAGCTTGGGTCCTGAAAATTATTGTCTCAACAACATCTGCACTGACAGACAATTTTATAGTGTTCCCTTTTTGCAAATGAGAGAAAAATTTGTCTGACTCATAGGTGTTGCTAAGAGTGTGGCTTCTCATTGGCATTGAAGCCTGGAGGTGTTAATGATAATCTGAGGAAACTGAATGTGAAGCCTCCATGAATTGGTTAAAGTGAGTGCCCTTCTGGTTATATTAAATCATTTTAATTCCTTGTGTTCCCTCTTTCCTCCCCAAAAGAAGGATGTAGACATTTTGTGCTGTTGTAGACATTCTGTGCTGACAGAAGTCCTTTGGCGTCAAATCCTCCCAGGACATGATGGGCTGCATATCCCTTTGGCTATGAGAATAGGATTAGATTTCATGCTAATTCCCCTACTTCATGCTGAAATCAGGAAGAAAAGTTCTTGGAACGTAAACTAAGTTGAGTGAAGACTCCATTCTATTCACTGGGAAAACTTCAACACAAAGAGCGTTAGTCTAGCCTTTGGAATAATATGAATGAAATCTCCATGAAAAGGGCTATAATGAAGGCTTCAGAAGGAGATACACAATAGTACACCCAGGAGAAAGTTACTTCGGGTGTTGTGCCTACAACTGGCAAGAAAGGTGTTATGATGTCTCTTTGTTTCTACTAAGGGAGTTTTCCTGTGATTCTCTGTTTTCCACATAAATTCCAAGGGGCAGATCCTGAAGTCTTTATTCCATCTTTGTTCCTCACTCCACTGGTTGTTTTCTGGAGTAATGTAAGGGAGTTTGCTCTGTGCATCTTCCCCATGTTCAGATGCCATTAGCCCTTGGTGTCTCCTGGCATGAACTCAGCTTCTAGGTTTTTCAACCTGGAATGAGAGGGGTGTCTCCTCAGCATGAGGACAAGGATGAGGTGGTCTTCCTTGGTGTACACAGAGGTCAGGAGAGACATCTGGCACCCAAAGTAGCCCCTTGGGTCTGGCCCATAGTGATTATGTGAGATAAAGTATTTCATGGATTCAGATCTTGAAAGCCATGTCACAGCATTTGGTATAGGAATTAAAGGTTTCATGGCAGAAGATGAGGAACTCTTTCTACCTTCTGAAGGAGAAAATGCTTTGAGAAGTTGTTGTGAATACCACTGTCCCAAAAAGAAAGTATGCACATGCTATATGTGGTATTTTTGGTTTGCCTTTTTTCCCCTTCTGTTTCTGAAAATAGAAAATGCTTAGAAAAGAACAAAACTGATCAATTTTATGATATGGCACATTTCTGATCTATATTGAGATTTATTACTAATCATATTTGACTTCTATTTTGGGTTCTGAAAGCATTTAAAACTTTGTATTAAAAAGCCTCATAACAATCTTCTGCAGCAAGTTTATCTCAATTTTACGGGTAAGGAAACCAAGGCACAAAGACGTGAAATTATTTGCCACAGATAATATAGTAAGTCAGTGGCAAAATAAGGAGGAGAATTAAATTTTGTGGTTATGGGTTAACTCTCTCTTTTCCTGCTATGGAAATTGATCTTATCCCTTAAAGTTCATGAAAACTGGCCAGTTTGCACTGTTAAAAAGCACATTTGCAAAGCAAATAATTTTTTTTTCCATATAAGCCAAAAAATTCTACTTAAAGGGTTAATTATATTGCTGTGCTGGTAAACATTTTTACTTATTGCTGGTTAGACCTATCTTTAGATACTGACTGGGACAGAAGAGACTGAGCTGGCCCTGGACTCCCTCGTCTTGGTGTTGGGCATGGATATAGTACAACAAGATACACCCACAGTGGCCTCAGGCAGTTCATCTTCCTCTGTCCATTCATTGAGATCTGGGTTATAGCACTGAATGCATTTCTTGTACTTTTTCTCTATTTCATTCCAGCCACCCACTAAGTAAATTTTCCCATTAAGGGTGGAGGCGCCAGCCGTGCTAACTCCGGTTTGAAGTGGCGCCACGTAATTCCACTGCCCCGTATATGGGCTGTAACGCTCCACAGGGAGAACATCGACCCTTTCTGCTCGCCCCCCCAGCTGAGACCCACCCATGACGTAGACCCTCTCCAGAAGGGACACTGCGCAGTGCCAGCCCCTTGGGGTGCTGAGGCTGGCCTTATCCTGCCAGCTGTCTTTGCTGGGGTCGTACATGCACACTGAGCGAGAATAAGCATTATTGATGTAACCTCCTGTGACCAGGATCTGGCCATCCACCACTGCACTGGCATGGCAGCACCGGGGCACCTCCAGCGGGGCCTTCATCTGCCACTGGTTAGTTGCAGGCACGTAGCACTCAACAGAGGAGAGGCAGCCCTCGGAGTTGCGGCCACCCACAGCAAAGAGGAGGCCATTGAACACGTTCAGGCTGAAGTGGGTGCGCCGCTGGTTCATGTTCGCCAAGTGAATCCAGCTGTTGAAACGAGGGTCATACCTGAAAGGATTAAAAAAAAAGGTAACACTGCTCTGCTAAATTATACAGTACTCCTATGCCACTGCTGCAAGAGTGGAGTTGCTAGAATTTTAGTTAGTTAGTTAGTTTATTAAAAGTCAGTGTAATGAAACTGGTATTCCTGATTAAATTTCCAAATAAATTTAGGTTTTGACTGGAGAAAAAATATTTTTGTATCATTCAAACCTGGTATTATTTTAATGAACTAAATCTGATTCTCTGACGAAGTAAATCTGATGTAATTTGATTTTGTATAATAATCTCATTAGAATACTGGAGAGAGATACTTCCAAGATACAATAGAAATTTTAGATATTCTTTTGCAATTTACACCCACAGCAAAGACGTCTAAATTTCCTCATACAGTTTTTAAAAACTTTAGGCGGTGATTTATACTTGCATCCTCTTAGTGCTTTCTAAATGGTGAATATACTTTCCTCACCACTCCCATGGAGTAAGTTTTATGTGGAAAGAGCATTTGTGCTTTCTAATACCATTCCCATCTGAAATAACATTCTTTGTCCTTGGCATTTAAATGAGCAGCTTTGAAATAGGAAATGGCAAATTATGACTCTAAAGATGCTGAGTGAGGTGCTCTAGTGGACACACACACTTCTGTTGCATGCTAAGGGGACCAGAGAATCACATGAGAAAAAGACTATGGGAAAGTAAATACTAATTGTCATTCAGCATCATCATCTGCAAGTCCACAGACATACTGATGTGCTCAAGGTTAAGGGCACAACGAGGATTCTCCCGCCTCCTCCCTGCAACCAAGGTGTGCACTGAGGGCACAACTCCTTGTGACAATGCGAGGCATAGCTTAAAGGCAGAAGGTCAAGAGAGCAGATATTTTCCTGACAAAGTAGATTACACAATAAAATTGATCTAGAGAATGTTCCTCATTCTTTAACTTGGTGTACTGGTTGATATCCTCAGGAGAAGCTGACTGTTTCTTCTGGGAACAGAAAAGGAAGCACGGGTAGGACTGCAGCTGTGCAATGTCATTGTATGTTCATAGTCTGTTAGTAAATAAAAGGCAGATAAAAGTTTTCCCACCACCAGCCTTTGCATCAAGCTACTGCTTTGCATCAAGCTGGCATCTTTTAGGCTGAATTATTTAAAAACTACTACTGCCCTTGTGACATTGCATGTTAGTGTGTGCACTCTTCTGACCTTACTATCACCAGTGCAGTCTCAGATGACTATAGATAGCAACTGCAGTATTTTAGAAGTGAGGTATTGTTTGGGGTACACTGTAAAAGACAGCTATCAAGGAATGCTACCATTGTTTCTAAACTCTTGATAATAATAATAATCAAAAAAATAAAGGATTTGAAATTAATTTCAGTACAGAAATTTCAATACAAAAAGCTGTTGAACATATGGTGAATGGTGAATAGAAAATGAAGGCTATAATATGTAAAAGGTAGTTTTCTAACCAAACTTTTTGTGAGGCATCAAAAGCTTTTGAAAATTTGAAGTCTCCTTAGAACATCCCATGACTTCCTATTTAATGTTCCTGTCTATTTCCTCCACTTGGAATAAGTTTTCTCAGTTTTTCCTCACTTCTCAGTGTGCATGTGTAACCATGGTGAATTTTTTTGCGTAACTCCAGTTGTATATTTCTATTCATTCAAAGTTTAATATAGAATAGCATCTATATCTCCCCTACATTGTCCCCTTTCTCTTCATCCAAGTGATTCATGTTGCATGACACAAACCAGCTTCATCTATCTACCTGCTTTCTGTGGAATTGATACCTCCATCCCTTTTAAAGAAATAGTAGTTACCTGCAGAAATTGCTGACTGCATGCTTGGCTTGGTTCCTGGCATCATTCTGGTCTTCCCCACCAGCCACATAGAGAAATCCATCCATCACTGTGACACACTGGTTAAAACTCTTAGCAGGCATTTCACTTAGCTTCTTCCATCCATTTTCAGGGTCTCTGTATAAGATGTCTCTGCTAAGAGACTTTTCTGTTAAAGCAGGGCGTCCCCCAACAGTAACTAAGACTCTGAAACCTCCACGGATCCTTGTTCTTCTGGACTGAAGTGTATTCTGGTGATAGGGAAGCAAGTGATAGTTCATGGCATCCACTAGGAGCTTATGGCAGTCTGCATCTTGCATCATTCTTGGCACAGTTTGAACATAATTGACAAGGTCTTGGGCTGAGATGGTGCCAAAACGGATGTTACTTAAGAGATTGGCAGCAAACTTTACTCTTTTTTGGTCAAATTCTAGCCATTTTATTGCAATCTGGAATGCAACAATTTCAGAAGGCAACTGTAAGTCATCATCTGCAAGAAGTTCATTAATCTGATCAAAAGTAAGCTTTAGGAACTGATCAGTTTCTGAAAATTCAATGAAGTTGTCTTTAATAAATTTGTGCGCTGCTTCCTTGGTTGCTTTTAGTCCGTATGTTTCTGCAATATTGGCAATGTACATACAGTTCTCAACACTGATTTCTTGGGCTAGAAAATCACAGCACATCTTTGTAAGGGTGTGAATCTGTAGATAAATTGCTGTGGAAATAATACTACCTATTGTATAAAGTGAGAGAGTAAGTTTTCCAGTGTAAGCATAGGTGATAACAGTAGCTAGACCCACTGGGGACACATCATTGAGGTCCACTCTTTGAATGGACGGATCTTTCTTTAAGATGTTGTGAAAGTATTCACTGCTTGAAGCCATCACTACCTTATGAACACTGAATGATTTGGTTTTGGTACTGATAGTCAAGTCACAAAGGAAATTTTCTTGTCTCATTTTGCTTAGACCTTCCAAGAGGTTTGGACAGTATGATGGGTCCGAAACCTCAGATGAAATGCAGCTGAAACCATTTCCTCCTTCCAAGAGTCCATTCAAGCCATTTAGTTTACTGAGGGGGCTATCTTCCACAATGATAGTTGTTTCGTTGATATCCGCTTTGTTCTTTTTCACATTCTTCTTCTTAGGAGCCATGACTGCAATGAAATATTACAGCCAAGCACTTGCTAAAAATAAAATTAAACACCACAGTTGTGAAATTTAATAGCTATGTGATTATGCAAGAAATCTAACCTTTGTCAAGACGTATAATGCCACAAAACCATACATACGGGATAATCTGTATTCCGAAATTCTAGGTTGCAGCATGGCTGCTTATTAATAACAGTCAATACTCCAACTTTGAAGAATATACTTACAAGTAATTCAGTAATTTCTTTTTGTTTTAAATAACAAGATAATAAATTAACATTCACCTATTATCACCACAGTCAGAAAGTTAAATTCTCTAAATGGGTTTGCCAGAGTGTAAAATTTTGAATGTATTTATCTAAATCAGACAGGTTCTTGACCTGAATTCATTAGCCTGAAGCACAGGAAATATACAGACCCCCATGTTTGTTCATCCTTAGTCCAGGGCTGCTACAGACTTACAGGTGAGTACAGAACTTGGCCAGGAAATGCTAAGACTGGGAAAAATTCTTAAAGAAACAAAAGCCAGATGAGACATAAAGAGGATTTTAATATGATGTCATATTGATTTTAGATTTAAGTCCTGCTCCAAACTCCTTTCAGGTTTTTGTAACTTTTCATTTTATAGAGTAATAATGTTCTATTTCCTGTGCCAGATGTGCAAATATTTTCTGCTCATAGCATAAATGTATGTAGATTCAGTATCAGTAATTTGAAATCTATAATCCTACTTTTAGGATTTTGTGGAGATTTAGGGACATGTCTAACTTCTATTTGAAAAAATGTCACACAGATTGTATCAGGATTGTTATTTTGAACAAGTTCTGCATATGGGAAGGTAAGAATTGGTCCTATAATTATGTTAGAACACATATTTAAATTATATATATCAGCTCTAGTAGAGCTCTCAATGAAATAGAGCCACTTTTTTGTCAAATGTGATGTGAGACAGCCCCTGGTAACAAAGGAGTTACTTCAAACAAATATATGTATGTGCAAATATACTTGAAGAAAACCACTGATCTTCAATAACACAATTTAAACAGAATTGTGGAGATCAGCATTCAAATAGATTCAAACATAGCATTTATCTACAGTATATCCATAGATTTTAAAACAATTTACACATGCTAATTTTCTCTGTGATCCTTGCAGTCATAAAAACTCAAACTTGAAAAAATGCTAATTAATGATAAATCGAATGACTGGTTTATTGTAGATAACAAAATAAAAAGACTTCAGTAATATTTCAATCTAGAATCTCAGCACATCATTTCTTCCTTAAGCACACAGCATGCAACAAAATGGTAATTTAATTATAGAAAGGAATGGTTGCTGCCTGTGAGCACCAGCAGTTTTTTGCTGCTGCTGCTGCTGGGTGATGACCATGTGCAGAGCAGGCAAGGGAGAGGGCCATGTGTGCCCAGAGTGTCAGTGTCAGCCTGTGCTGACGTGAGCTGTGATCCCTGATATGCCAGTGTGCCATCGCAGGGGTCAGCTGCTGCCCGGCTCCCCCGCTCCGGCTGCATTCCAGGAGCTGCATCTGTTGAGACCTATCAGAGTCACCTCCCAGAATAGCAACCTCCCAGCAGCTTGCCATTTTAAGACAGGTTCAGTTGAAGGTATAGCTGGTGTTTCAGTATACTTAGCTGTTTAACACAACTTTTGTTGGAAAAACTCTACGATGTTTCAAGTGTTGCGTATATTTGCTGGCATGGAAAAAAGCGGAACAAAACTTTTTGATAATTTTGTATGTTACACACATAGTTATAGCTTTGCATATTAATAGTCACAATTTAAAGTTGGTGAAGGCACGTTCTTTTAGTAGCCTTGTCTGTTTTCTAAGTATTTTTAGAGACTTGTAACTTAAAATTTTTAATACATGTAGTACTTATTGTTTATTGCCTCATTGCATCACTGCAGAGCTCATTTAAATACAACATTTTAAGCTCTGTTCAAAAATGCTCACTATCCAAAGTTTTTTCCTGAGAAATGCTTTTTCAGCAGCAGAAATTTCACAAGCTAGCTTAGTGCACAAGCACTGTAAGCGACGGGACACGCAAACCTACTGAAACAAATCAAACAGTACTATAATAAAACCAAGTTACTGAACATTGAAAACCCTAAGTGATTTGGTTTTCTATGATTGTTTGATTTCACCTACTTTATTTTAGTTTAAGTACCAGTCATGCCAAAGGACACTTGGGGTCCCTAAACAATGCATTATACCAACCAGCCTCCCCCCTGCTTCAAAATGCCACCTTCTAAAAACTGAAAGTGAGGAGTTAAAAACCTCTTACCCTCCTCAGAAAGATTCTGTCCCACAGCTGTCCGTGAAAACGCCTCTTCCTTGGAAAATGCAAACACAAAAAGAGAGGAATTGGGGGGGGGGAAAGAGTGAGAAAGATCAGAGGCCGCTTGAGTCCCAGCTCACTGGTTTTCAGTGAGGCACTTCGCTGTCACAGTGAGCAAGAGAGACCGGAGCCTGTGCTCGGGTGCTCTTTAAAATGACCCCTCCTCTCCATGCCTTGCTCTGTGCCTCTGCCCAGCCACGGGAGCTCAGCTTCCCTGGGCTGCCTGGCCACTGGAAATCAGGAGGACAAGCCTCGATCCTGCAAATGTACGGGTACAGGGGAGGGAAGGGAGGGGAAGATATCTACAGCAGGTAATAACTGCCTCAGGTAAGCATAGGATGAACCACTGGGTTCCCCAGCTCCCAGCTGGGAGCCTGGGCGAAAGCCCTATGGTTAGGCAGGGGCACAGGTTTAGACTGGATATAAGGAAGACACATTTTATGAGGGTGGTGAGGCACCGGAACAGGATATGCAGAGAAGCTGTGGCTGCCCCATGCCTGGAAGTGTTCAAGGCAGTTGGATGGAACTTCAACAACTTTGTCTAGCAGAAGATGTCTCATGGCAGGAGGGCTGGAACTACACAGTCTTTGAAAGTCCCATCAAAACCCATGATTATTATTATTCTATGACCTAAAATAACCCACAGAAACACCATGGAAAAGGTAACACGTTACACTTTCTTATATTTTCCATGCTTGACTCCAGGCAGAGGAAAGGAGACCAGCTGATGGGAATTCAGTCATGTTCTGTTTTGCAGAATTAGGTCACTGCTTCCATAAAGACTTGCCTCAGCTTTCAAAGATTATGGCTCACATCCTGATACATTTTCAGAGATGTGAACTTTGATCTTCTGTCTCTGAAGTGTGTATCCTATCTTGGGGGTTACACCGTACACTGGAATAATTTATCTCCACATCCTTGCCAGGCAACCTCAGGAATAATATAAAGCCAAACCTCCACATCCCAGGAGAATTTCCTCCCATGGGAATGATAAAGAGTGCAAGTGTCTGCATGGGAAGGGAAGAGTACTGGGGGAAGTGGAAGTCTGAGAACAGGAAGGTTTTCTCTTGGCTGTGCTTTGTATAATGATTAATCATACAGATTTATTTGCCTTCAGCTCAGATGGGCTTTTACAATACCCACTGCAAAGTAACACTTGTCATTTTGAACAAAAGGGCATTGCTGTGTGGGTGGAGCTACAAAACACCACAAGGTAAGAATGCAAACACAAAATAGGAAATGAGAGTCAGTCAAGTGTGTGAAATGAGAGTGAAGGAGAGAGACATAAGGCCCAGCCCTCCCAACAGCAACCAGTTTTCCTTTTGAAAAACATGACCAGAGCTATGAAAAACTAAAGACAAAGCAGCATTTTCATAGAATCATGGAATACCAGGTTGGAAGGAATACCAAGGATCACCTGGTCCCACCTTTCTTGGCAAAAGCATTGTATTGACAACATGGCCCAGCACCCTCTACAGGCAAATCTTAAAAGTGTCCAACCTTCATTAATCCACCACTTAGTTACCTGGGGAGGTTATATTCTTATTGTGAAAAATTTTCCTCTTGTGTCAAATCAATCTCCTCAGGAGTAATGTGTAGCCATTCCACTTCATCTTTTCATTGTGATTTCCTGTAAAACGGGAGTCTCCATCTACTGTGCTGCTGTGGTTTGACACTGGCCCAACAACAGGCACCCAAGAGAGTCTCTCACTCACCCTTCCCTGCTACAGCTGGGCAGAGGAGAAAAAACGTAACCAAGGTTTCATGAGTGAGGTAAGGACCAGGAGAAATATTTCAAGGGCAAAGCAGGCTCAACTTCAGTTGCGAAGTGAGATTATTACTAACAAAATCAGAAGAGGATAATGAGAGGTAAAACAAGCCCTTAAAACACCGTTTCCCCCCAAGTCCCTCTCTGCTTCCCACCCACAGCACAGGAAGACAGGGCATGGGGGTTTTGGTCAGTTCATTGCCGAGATTTTCTTCCACTGCTCTCCCAGAGGAGTCCTTCCCCTGTGAGGCTGTGGGGTCACTCCCACAGGAGACAGTTCTCCATGAACTTCTCCAGCATGGGCCACTTTCATGTGCAGCAGCCCTGCCAAAACTGCTGCAATGTGAGTCCCTCCCACGGTCAGTAATCCTCCAGAAACTGCTGTGGCATGGGCCTCTCTTCCATGGGGTGCAGTCCTCCAAGGACAGGCTGCTCCAGCCTGGAAGCAGGGCCCTCTCTCTCCACTGGGTCTCCCACCTGATCACAGCCTCCTCCAGGCACCCACCTGCTCTGGTATGGGCATCTCCCCCAGGGTTGTGGGTGGATCTCTGCCTCTCCTGTGGATCCCCAGGGTCTGTGGGTGGATCTCTGCATCCCCCGTGGATCCCCAGGGGCTGTGGGTGGATCTCTGCATCCCCCATGGATCCCCAGGGGCTGCAGGGCACAGCTGCTTCACCATGGTCTCACCACAGCCTACAGAGGAATCCTGGCTCTGGTGTCTGGAGCACCTCCTGCCCCTCCTTCGCCATTGACCTTGGTGTCTCCATGTTGTTTCCCTCATATGTTCCCATCTCCTCCTCTTCTCTGACTAGAAGAAAAACCGGTGACTTTTGTTTTGATTTTGTTCTTAAATATGTCATCACAGAGATGTTTCCAGCCTCTCTCACTGGCCCAGCTTTGGCCAGCAGCCTGTCCATCCTCAGAGCCATCAGCCACTGGCTCTGCTGGACATGGTGGAAGCTCCCAGCAGCTTCTCACAGGAGCCAAATCTGTGGCCACCTGCTACCTAAAACCAGGACATGCCAAACCAATACATATGTCTTTTTTTCCCCTCCCATGTAAATTCCTACTGCCTCAAAAATACAACTAGCTGTGGCATTAATCTAATATGTTGGATGACATCAATCATCATCTTAACACATCTCAATGTATTTCAATTTACCTGTTCAATCTAATTATAAAGTTACTTACATCAACAACTATATTTAAGATTTGAAGCTTTACATTAATAGGATCAATTATAATGTTTTTTATGCAAAGAATTTATTTTGCACTGTGCTCCATGAATTTTAAGAACATGCAATATATTAGGTCTTGTAGTTAGAACAAACACATTTCTGAAACAGTACTATCAAACATATTTCGTATCAGTGAACCATAGTTATTTAGTGTTCCCTTTTTTAACAGCTCATTCCAAGACTTCCATCAACTTTCATAATTTTAAGATGCCTTAAAAGGCCAATGCTTTCAGAGAAAGATTATTTTTTTCTTTTGCTATTTTTCAGTTAGGGTTCTTTTTTTTTTATATATAGGGGAATACTGTCCTCCAGGATGAACATACTATCATAATATACAAAAAATATTCTAATTTTCATATCTTTAAAATTTACAAGCATATTGTAACATAAATTTAGTTCTTATTCAGTGTTTCCAACATCCTTGTATGATTGACTGTTGAAAAAACAGAAACACCAATGGAGAAGCATCCTTACTGAAAAGACAAAACTAAGTTCTAATTTCCAGAAAATACCGAACATGCTTTGAGCTGGGCAGTATAGAGATAACCATCTCGTGGGGATTGAGTCAACAGCTCAGTGTACTAAAACTGACAAAGTCAAGCATCTCACATTGTTCTAAAACTTTGGTTCTATGTTAGGGCAAGACCTACAAAACCTTTCATTTTTAGGTCTTCAAGATCAGAGGCCAACTGATTGCATACTTGGATATTGTGTGGCACACAAGCTGGTCTTGGAAGTAGTCTTTGTCGTTTTGCATTAATTAGCACACAATAAAGTCTTTTAAAAGTAAATAATACCAGGATCAAAAATGATTATACTCCCCCTGTACTCAATCATTTGCTCCCACTTCCTTGCCTGGTTTTCCCCAGTCAAACCTCATTGATCCATCCCAAAATTCTCACCAGGCTCTTCTCCTGAGCTCAGACAAAGCCTACTTCTCTTTCTGGTTTCAGTCTTTCCTTGGAAACTCACTAAGCACTGCCAGTAGGGCATAGGGAGGTCCTTTAAAGGTGAGAAGAGTTTGCAAGCCTTCAGCAGAGCTGATGATACAACACAACCCTTGCGTACATAGTGGCAGAGCAATTTTTGGAGCTATATTTGTGTGTATGTCAAGCCCACTTCTTAAGAGGAGTCACACATCTATGCCAAAGAAAAACAATCCTTGTAATAATCAACACTGGCTGCAGTTTTGAAGGACTGAGTAAACTTTGAATTCTTTCCTCTTGACAGTTATGACAAGCAATACGAAAAATGCTTCAGTCAGGTCCAGGCTAAAAATATTTTTCATGTTCTAGGAAAACTTCTGAGATTTTAAATATTGTCTTTGCTGTCATGACATCATGATCTTTCAGAATAATTGGGCAGCAAGAACATCTTCCTCATCCCAAGAGATCCAGTAGTTTGATTATTATCAAACAACATATGGCAATTCCAGCTTCAATCAAATAATCTCAACTTCCCTACTCAATGACATTAATAATAATGCTGATGTGGGCTGAATTTCTCTGAAAACTTCTTCACATAAATGCTACTTAGTAAATAATGTTATACTATTTGGGCCAGAAAACTGAAGAGTAACTAGTTGTGAATGGCCTATTTTAAGGTAAGGTTGATGAAGTCTCTACATACTGTGAAGACAAGTTAATTATTTCTGTAAAATAAAAACATGTGTTTGGTAACTGGAGACAGTCTGCATCAGGGACCTGGATTTAATTTTTTCATTTCCAACCCGAGTGCTCTATCTACTGTATTGCCCTATCAGCTATTTCGGTTTCTCTACTAATGAATGTGCTATAAAGTACTGTATAAAGTATTACCAAGCTGTAATAAAATCTATTTTGCAAGAGTAGCAATCCTAACGTGTAAATAGACTTTTGCCTACTTAAAATTCCATTGTGGTTCAGACTGGATGCAGTTTTTTTCCCATCAAAGACCACTTTAAAGAGAGAAAGGTGTTCTTTGTACCTGTTTTCATTCTACCTATAGCAACTTCACAGGAAATTCTACAAACACAGATTTTTTTTTTTTAAGAGGAACTCATTCAGCCTGGGAATCTTACAAGCACACGCTCAATCCCAGCAAGCTCCAAGGCAGAGACCTCGTTTCAGATGCTCAGTTCGCACAGCACAAAGACTGATTCCTTGTCATGAGCTTTTTAGGTAATCCATGGGAGAGCCCTGCTGAAAGCTGCAGGGCCCAAAAGTGCTCAGTCCCCTAAACAAAAAGAAGCAAAAAGCATTAGGCATCAGGCTGTAAATAAGGCAGGACCTAAAGAAAAGGATGTCCCCTTCAGCCCGAGCCAGGACTGCAGCGGGCTGCCTGCGGGCGCCACTCGCGGCTCCATGGCTCGGCCTCGCTACTCCAACGCAAGGCACCCTTCCACAGGGCAGCCTCGGTGCCACGCACAAGTCACCAGCCATGCCAGGGGACTCGGGGTTACTGCCGATAACAGGCCAGATGTGCACCAGCAAGCGACACTGCTCGCCTCCCGCCTGGCGCAGGCGGGACAGGGCCTCCCCGGGNGGCGGCCGCGCCATGGCGGAGGAGGGGCGGAGCGCTGGGCGCTGGGCGCTGGAGCTGCAGGAGCTGCAGGAGCGGCTGCGCGGTGCGCGGGAGCCTGTGGAGGTAGCCGGCCGGGGGGCCAAAGGCGGCGCTGCTGGAGTGTTATTTCTGGAGTGTTCATACGAGCTTTTCTGTGCCAAATAGGTGCTTCTGCTTGCTTTTAACGGCACGCGTCAAAGAGGAGCGGGGGCCGTCACGCCCTGTTCTTATGAAACCGCTGTGGAGTGGCCGGGTTGCTCTGTAGCTGCGAGGAGTAGCTAAGGGACGCCTGAAGCAGGCGGGGATGAGCGGGGAGCGAGATCAGAGCAGGTACTGAAGCTGCGCCGCGCTCCGGTGGCGCAGAGAGGACAGTCCCAGGCTGTGGGGCAGGAAGGACCAAGGTGCAGAGAGGACAGTCCCAGGCTGTGGGGCAGGAAGGACCAAGGTGCAGAGAGGACAGTCCCAGGCTGTGGGGCAGGAAGGACCAAGGCGCAGAGAGGACAGTCCCAGGTTTTGGGGACACCCCCATGTGTGGGGACCAAGGCACGCACCGCTCTCTGAGCACTCCCAAGGAAATGGAAGCAAAGCAGTGTGGACCAAATTGGCCTCAATGTTTTATGAAATAATAGATAATATTTGACTGAAGAAGGTGTATTCAAAGCAGTGTTGGGGTTTTTGCTTGGTTTGGGTGTTTTTTTAATTTTTTTTTTTTTTTTTTTTTTTTTTTTTGGGTCACATTCGCTTTGAAAATACAGGACACTTTTACCTTGATGGGTTTCAAAGGCATTAAAACTTGTTACAAATTTGTGGTTGGAGGCAGAGGGCAGCAGTAAAAATGGCATAGTATTTGGTAATTGATGAGAAGCTTAGCTATTAATCATGTCTACAGTGTGTTTTCAAAGTATCTGTGTATGCATATAGAGGACATACTGATTTTCATAGCCAATAGTGATTTATCTTCTTAAATGCCTGTGATGTAGACAGTATCTGTCAAAAATGCAAATATCTTTGCAGGTGCTTCTTCCGAAATTTTAATTTGCAGTTTAATGAACCTAAAATCTCTTCCTATGCTCCAGAAATGATCAGCTATTACAGTGCCTGAATTTGTACTTGGGATTAGTGTTGATACGCTATTTGAATAAGAGGTAGCAAAGGAAAATAAAATAAACAATTCAATAGGTAGTTAGGTCTTTTTAAGTGATCCCAAACCAGCAAGTTGCAAAGTATTCTACTGAAGTGAAGAATAAGAACGGCTCTGGCTGACTTGTGTTCATTAAGGATGCAGATACAATGTTTTTATGTAGCATAACTGTGAGTAGGTGCTGCATAAAATGGAGCTAATGGTGGTGCTGCAGCACTTCTGTCCCTGGTAAAACTGTCTAGTGAAATCAAAGTATTTTTAGGTAACAGGGCCTAAGGAGTGGCAGGGAAAGTGGGAAACTGATAGCTGTAAATTGCCAGTCATGAAAGGTACTCCTAAGAGAAGTTGAATGTAGTAACAGAAATTATGTGATTAGTATCTTTAAAGGCAAAGAGGAGAGGTCTAGAAATGTGTGCAAAGAATTAAAAATCAGTATTACAGATGTATGTAGGCAAATGTTGTCAAATACTTCTGTTCCATACTGAGAATAATCTGTCTTTGGACTTTTTAATATTGCTAAAAAGTTCTTGATAACCATGCAGAACATCAATTGTCCATTTCAAAAGCTTCTTAATGTGTGAGGTTTGATAGCTACCCACTGAGTTTTCAGAGAATTGATGAAAGAACAGGTATTAAACGATGCTTGTAGTTCTAGGGAAGAGACAGGGGAAAAAAGTAGTTAAAGGTCAGTGAAATGGTCTTCATTGGCATTGACCATAAAGGAGCAATGAACAGCTGCATGATGTTAAGATGTAACTGATGAAGAATTAAAGGGTGGTGCCATGATCCACACCACGCAATGAGATGTTACATAGATACCTTCTGACAAATTTATCTCAAATTGAATTTGTCTGACACAAATTGTCGTAAATATATGCGAGCTTCAAGGCATTTCACTTGCTTCTGTATGACACTGATGTAATACATAAAACTGATTTCCGTTGCACTCACCAAAAATAAGTGCCAGACATAATTGGGAAACAATGTTGGGTTGTGGGTTTGTGGTGTTTTTTGGGGGGGTAGGAGTGTGATTATACATTTCTTTGTGACATGATGCCACTGAAATCTTTCTCAATTTAGAAGACAGCAAATATTGAAGTAATTTCTATCAAATTAAGAGAGTCCCTTCTAGAAACCAAATTTATAAAAATAAGAGGCTACATTCATTTGAGCAACACGTTTTACCATGGCTCAGTGGAAAGTCACAGCTAGGAGCTATGAATATAGGTCACTCAGGATAGGAGACTGTATTTTGGAAGGCATTGACTCAGAAAATGATTTGGAGCTCTGATGTATTACCAGTTGAGCATGAAATTGCAGTAGAGTGCAGTGGCTTTGGAGTACATGCTATCCTTGGGTAGCTTAGCAGGGTTATGCTATTATTGATATATAGCACTAGAGAGACAATTAAAGGAATATTATGTCCTGTTCTGAGGACTGCTTTTAAAAACAGCACTGGCCAAGCTGAAAAAGATAATAAGATAGCTAGAGAATGGCTGTAGCTCTGGCTAACATAACTTAATGAAACTAAAGAGCCAAGGTAAAGTATGCAATTAGTATTTACATTTATTTCTGTGTTCTGTGAGATGATTGGAAGAAAACTCCTTTAGTATAATTAACAGATCACTAGATTTAGTAGCTGAAAACAAAACTAGGCAATTGTTTTAGGAGAACAGCTGTGTTGGGTTTTTTTGTTTGGGTTTTTTGCTCATTTTTTTGTTTGTTTTTTGTTTGTGTTTGTTTATTTGTGTTTTTTTTGTGGGGAGGTTGTTTGTTTGTTTTTTGTTTGATATTTTGGAGGGTTTTTTTGGTGTTTTTTTGTTAGCTGAGAGCATGGGGATGATTTGCTAGGGACAGAGTTGGGTTTTTCTACGGTGTTTTCCTTGAAGACCTGGTGCTCTTTCAAATGAATTGTCTAGTTTAGCCAGAAGTTATTGAGTTGATAGAATTTCACAGGCTCTGCTATAGATAAGAATAAGCTAAAAAATCATAGGGATCTCTTTGAAAGAGAAATGCACCTATTGAGTGAGGAAAGAGAGAAAACAGGAGTTACTGTAGAGAAATGTTGTCAGTCCCCTGAGGACAGATGGTCTGGGAACCTGGGTTCTGTCCTTCCTGAGGTTCCAGGCTCAGATAGGAAAGTAAGAATAGACTGTACAATGCTTGTATAAAGGATGGTGGAGCAACACTGGTGTATTGGGAAATGACCAAACCCAGCTGTTATGACTTTGCTTTCGGTTTTGGTCCTGGAAATTTTTGTTTGCTTACATGCTTCTTTCCCATTACTCGTTACCATTGATCCCCGCTTTCCAAATTCCAGCCTGCTTTCCCTTCTTCCCTGCATCTTTGCTTGCTTTTCTTCCTACTGTCATCTTTGCTTTTGTCTCATGCCCATGATGTGGGTGCCCGCTTTCAGTTTGTCCATAAGGCTTTGCCTGTTTATATTGCATAAAGACCTTGGTTTTTCTTGGAATGTATTTTATGGAAAAAAATCCCCAGTCCTAAAGGATTTTGATCATTTTTTATAAATCAGTATTTAGGAATTATGTAGACTAGTCCAGGAATGTATATGAAGATAAGTGTTTTTCAAACTTTTTTCTACGAAGTTTACAGTCTCTTTTAAAGGTAATTGAGTTTTTCCATGAGGATATAGCTGATAGTGGTATGTGAAATAAAACAGTCTGAAAACCAGTGGAGGTTTGTGTATATATTGTGTGTATATAGAATACATATGTATTGTGTATATATAGGTGGTCTTCTGTAAAGGAAGTACCAGACCCAGTCTAGTGAGATAAGAGCTAGATAGGCCACAGATGCTATGGTGAAAGAAATGGTTAGAGAAAGATCCCTCAATAGTCAGTCTGTGTTTTGTTTTTGGAGGTCTGCTCAGAACAGACTTCATCATATTGCCTTATTTTATGGAATAATTATAATAGTATCGTATATATAGGTATCATGACATCAAAGTTTGTGTTTCTAGCAAGCTCTGGTTTTGGTGACAGACTTTACTGTGTCTTGTGCTTCACAGTATACCTTTCTCCAAAGCCTGATAGATACTGGAGCTTGGTATTTGTGCTTTGTCTTTGGCAGAGAAATAAGAGATCTCTAGCCAGTAGGATAAATACAAAGTTTCTCTGATGCTACAGATGCTTGCCGCAAATTATATTTGCTTATATTCTGATTGTGTCTGTAAGTGAGCTTGATTCTAAATCCCCCCAATAATTTGGAGATGTGATTCCTACTGGCAGGCTGGATGCAGCCATTTACTTTGTCCAGTTACAGAATAGAGTATTGTACTAGTCCTGTACATGCAGAGCTGCTGATTCGCCTGCAGCCTGGGCTGTTCCCTGCTTCTAAGTGGTTGGTATCACCTCTAAAACCTTTATCAGTATGTCTGATCCATTTTTGCTATTTTTTAATATGAAACAGTGTTATTTGTCTTAATTTTCCAAATGTGATATACATTTTAAGTAACCAAAATTAGCAGTGTGGTCTGTAGTTTAGAAAACTTTGAAAGTTTTGTTTTTCATTAACATTTGTTGTCTGCTTTTGAACATGCTTGTCATCTAGGTATTTTTGTAATTTAGCCTGTTGGTTTGAAGTTGTATAATAATTGCCTGCTTGCTGAATTTTTTCTTCTGAAATAAATTTGGCTTTATGAGTTAACTTAGTCCAAAATCCATCAAGAGGAACTGTTCAAAGCCTCTATTCTTTGTATCTTGATGAAAACATCCCCTAATATTGATCATTCTTCCACAAATAAATTTGTCTCTGGCAAAATAAGTGGGATTTATTCCCAGTGGTTTGCAGTGCTTGATTATCTAGACATGCTAAATATCACAATATAGTGTGTCAGCAGTGGGTTTCTTCCTTTTTCATTGCAAAATAAATTAAATCAATGAGGATATAGTCTTCTAATTAAAGTGAATGAACTTGACGCTGACCATCTGGAGCATTAGAAACTATGTTAACATTGTGAGTAATCTATGTTAACATTGTGAGTAATCTTTTTTTCTTGGGGAGTTCTTAAAGATAAGCAGAACTTCATATGGCTTTTGTGCTGGTTCTGAGATCTTGATAAGGAAGCGTTTATTATATTTTATTTTTTTATAAATAAAATATAATTTTATTTTATAAAATTATATTCTGTATAATTTTATATTGTACAGTATTCTGTACAATATAAAATTATTCTGTAGCTAGTTGAACTTTGTGGGAGACATCTGTTTTGTTACCTCTGGTCCTAGGTGTATGTCTTACCTTGTCTCAGATTTTCCCAGGCTGTGAAGTATTTTTCCTGTGCTTGTCTTGACTCGGAAGCACTGTTTCAGGGTGGAGGATTTAGAGAAGAACTATATGCCAGGAGTGTGGATAGAGCCCACTGAACACAATAAAAATCAGTGTGAAATGTGGGATTCCACTACTCTAATGCATTATGGGAACAGATCAGCAGTAGAACAATGTATATGCCTTGAGTGCAATTTGTAAATTGTTTCTTTGAGCTTGCTGCTCATATTTTAGTACCTCTTCCACCTTCTGTAATGCCATTTCAGAAGCAGTATGTAATGTAATAAATGACTGTTTGTCGGTTATTTAAATTAATATAGCTGTTATTGTTATCAGAAGGTTTCTGGGTAGTGTGCTTTGTGTTCCTGCTGTTACACTGAGAAGTGTCAATGATCTGAAACACTTGTCTTATATTTCAGGCTTTGTGAAAGCCCTATGAAATGCTGCAATTTCAGTTGTACACTAATCCTATTGTCTCCATAACATAGTTTCATGTGTGTGGTTGTGAGTGTTTTAGTGGCAATACTAAATTGGCAAATGCCATTCTTAAATGATGACAGAAAGATAAGACAAATTTGCTCTGTATGGTTAGCTGCAAGACTTTGAGGTATTATATACCCATTGCGAAACAAATTGGCTTATTATTATATTGCTGTTGAAACTTATACTCTGCTTATAAATGAGACTTCTTTGTTATTAAAACACTTCTCATAGGCAGATGAACATTTTGTATATGAAAAAATCTTTTCTGCTTTTATGGAAGTGTTGAGTTTTGTAACTGGTGTAAGCTTTGACAGTGCAAAAGAAAAGTTGTGCTTGCTCAAGCTTGTTTTGTTAAAGTTCAAATTGCAGTTATGTTTTCAAAACCTTATTTTGTGCAGTCTGGGCTCGCACCAGCTCTATTGTCCTTTCTTGGCCTGGATTGATGGAGTAGTGCTGATGACTGTGAGACTTGCTGATTTTTGCTTGGTGGCTTGGCATAATGCAGCTTTTGTACTGGCTCTGTGGCAAATGAGGGCCACTGCTACAGGATGAGTAGGCATGTATATGTAGCCTCTACTTTTGTATTATTCTGTATTATGTAGCCTCTACTTCTGTATTATTGGTTTTTTGCTGTAATCTCTGTAGCAGTAAATTCAAACTATCTGCTGGTTTTTCTGTCGTTACTGAAATTGAGGGGTTGGCAGGACGGTACTGATTCACTGCACAGACTGCAAACACTGCCCTGATGTGCAGTAAAGGAGTGCTTACATTTTCCAGGAGTTGCTGGATGTCTCTTTTAACACTATTGTGTATTTTTTGATTAAATATATGAATGAGGATGAGAAGAACAGAATAAGATTTCCAAGTATTTATTTAAAGCAATTAATCTAATGTTTCTTTACAGATTATAAAAACACTTAAGGTACTACAAGGTTTGGATTTATCACTGGATATTTTAGTGGTAAGTGGTAATAATACATTAAACTCTTCTATAGTGAGTTACTATGTAATGTCTTTGTATTATATGTTATATATAATTATAAAATACAACATTATTAAATGCAACATGTGTGTTTCTAGAAGTAGTGAACATGTTACATTTTGTAATCTGGAGTTTATATCCTGTTTGGTTAGATTAATTTTCCAAAAGCTGGTCATCCAGTTTGATAAATGCAGTATTATGTCAACAGTGATAGGGTGATTATGTCAACAATGAGCAGGGAGCTGAGCATATAGAGGACACTTTCCTAGTAAGGTTGGCTTCTTTTCACTGTAAAAATGCCTTTGATCGATGCTTAAAGCAAATATGGGTGAACCATTCTTTAGGTCAGTTGTCTAATTCCATCTTTCATTAGCAGTTCAAAGTTAGTTTCTTGCATTTAAAGAGCAGGAATCCCATATAATGATTCTTTTATCCTTATCCAAGCTGCATCCTATCAAATTCTATATTAGATATTCGCACACTGGTCTGTGAAGCTTCTAGCTATTATAAACAATGTGTTTTGAAAAGAGGAATGTGGGTTTTGTGAGAGAATTCTTTGAAGAGTAAGAGGAAAAATATAGTTGCCAAGATATTTAGATGACCTATTCAGGTGAAGGCATTTGCCTGCCTAGACACAGGCAGACTTCTACTGAAATGAAGTAATATTTGTTTTTCTTTCCAATAAAAATACATAATCTCATATTACAATTAGTTGTTTAAAATGACAAAGGGTTTCTGCAGATGACTCATGTTCCCAGAAAGTTTGCATGCTTTATAGTGGGACAGACTGATGGAAGCCTTCAAGTCAAATAGAGGAAAGCGATGTCTTACAGGGAAGGGCTCCACATATTTCTGATGCATTTGAACAACATAAATAGCTTTATGAAGTAGTCCCACCAGATTTCTTCCATCTGTTTGCAATAACTGACTTACCAAATCAGGTTGCTCAAATTATATATAAACTAAATCTACTTGAAGTGAATTTAAGGAAGCCCTTTCTACAGGCTGAGCTGATTATGTGGGAGTAATATGTATAGCTCAGACTTCACAGGAGTATAATTTGACTAGTTAGTAAGAGCATTCATGGGTTGCAGTGAACCTCCTGAATTCCATATTTTGTGTGCATCTTAAAAGTGAGGGTTTGTGAATGAGAGATGCTTACTGATAATACGGGATGAAAGTCACCTGTGATTCTACCAACACTCAAAGTCTGCAAGATATTTTTGCTTAAACAAAACTCACTAGAGTGAGACTTGAAAACACAATGATATTGGCTGCTCTGACGTCTCAACCCTGTACTACTGGTTGAGATGTATTTTATATTACACCATGCCCACCATATATGCTCAAATGTACTTCATAAGCCTAAAGGAAATTTGAATTTAGGCATTTTGTGGGTTTAAGCATTTTAGAGAAGTGAAATTCCTGAAATACGTACATTTAGTGGAGGAAAATGACTTATCTTAGTTTTCTTAATTAAGCCTGCATTTTGTTCCCCATATTCGGTTATAAATAACTACTTCCTTCAATTCTGTTTGCAGTATAAAGAGGGCATTTATTCTTTGGCTGTCATAGGACTGCCCTGAATACTAGGCTAATACTGTTTGTAGCAGTTTTAGAGGAGGTTTTATTTGGGATGAGAGTTGTGGTTTATTCTGCCCACCTTTTTTGCACTATCTTCAACAGGAAACTGGCATAGACAAAACAGTTAACAGTTTTAAGGAACATGCCACTGCTGGGAATGTAGCTAAGAGTCTGTTAAAAGAATGGAAAAAGCTTATTTCTCCAGAAAGTAAAAGGTAGGTGTGAACTTTTTTCCTTAATTATACTGTAGTGTAATTTTAAAATACTGATTGGAAACTTAGGAAGGTGCTTGGATTGACAAATGTACATTGGCTTGGAATGTGAATTTAATGCAAGAAATGAGAATGCAGTTGTAAAATATGAGGAAAACAATGAAACCATTATTGATCAACTAGCCCAGTTGGCACTCTGACTTCAGCTGCTTTATAGAATTTTTTCTTGTAATGTTCTTGTGGACTGAGAGGGCCTTCCAACATTGGAGGAGGCACAGTGATGAGATGCAGTTTCTTTTGAGACTGAAGCAGCCACCACTGCCATGGCCAGGCCCCCTCTACTTTAGATGTTTTGTGGTGTTCAGTTCCAGACAGTTGAGCTGAGAACGCCAAGGAAATAGTTTGATTTAATAGTACATTTTAAATCTGAAGTTGTTCAAACAACAGCAAAGTAAAATACCAGAACCTGTGATAAGCAAATCATAAAGGCTGACCTGTTAATCTGTATCACCTACAGAGCATGTTGTAAATTTTTCTGTCTCCTAGTTATTTCAAGCACCATGTCTTTGCTATAAAGTATACAGGGAAGCTTTGTGAAAAGTGGTATCCAGCATATTATAAGCCGATAGTACTGCCAGCTTTGTTTTCCTGTTCAGGATTTTATCCCTACTCCTCACTTCTTTTGCTATCAGTTCTTGTTTCAATATTTAGCAATGCTGGACCAAAAAGCTCTATGATTCTGTACTGCTAATAGAAGAATTAGAACACAGTGCACAATTCAGTTCTGGGTTTTGTGAAACTGTGACACGTGGTGTGATTTTATGCTTTTAGTTTTACTAATATTGGAAAAACAGACTGCTTAAGAATTTAGCATCAGCTGCAGAATGGGATGTAATTTTTTTATTGTTTCAGTGATCACAGGGGAAGAAAAAAGAATGCAAATGAAAAATGTGAGATGAAATCTTCTGTTTCCAAGGAGATTAAGTCTTCAGAGAATCCTGAAACATCTGTACTGGCCTTTAGAAGTTCTAGTAGTGCTCCCATTTCTCCAAAGTTGAATAAGAAGCGTATGTGTAGTGAAAAGACCCATCAAAGTACAAATTCTGAGTCTCCAAAAGAATGTGATAATAAAGAATGTAGCAGCAGTGGTTCTAAGCATGCTTCCCAGGGTACCAATTCTCAGGCTAAAGAAAGTGAGTTCAAACAGAGCAAGAAAATTTCAGAAAAGCAGCATTCCTCTGCAGCCAATGAAGGCTTATTACCCCTGAAGGAAAAGCCTAGTAAGGATGCTTCCAAACAAAGAAATCCTAAACGTGTGAAGAAACCAAAACAAAATCTTGTCATAAAAGACCAAGCCAAATCATCTAGTGAGGAGGAATTTGAACCCCCTACTATGTCTTTTGAATCTTATCTTACTTATGATGAGGTTACCAACAAAAGAAAGAGAAAGGCTTGTTCTACAGGTGCGCAGCCAAAAAAGTACACTGAACAGAAGTACAGCTCATTACCACAAAAGACTTCAAAACTTTCTCAGGAAAAAGAGGGAGTTGAATATGTAAAAAAATGTGGGAGTGATCAGTCAGAAACTCCCAGTAAAAAGGTAAACCACTACAGGGTTGAGATAATAGCAGATAAACTGCAGTCAAACAAGTGCTTTGGACTTTTAATTTCAGTGAAATTTATCTGTATTTATTTTAAGGAACAAATTGTATGACTGATGTATTGCCTGCATTGCAATTGCCAATAATTACAATAATGGGGGAGAAAAAAAGGGATACAGTTTGCAATTTAATTACTTGTATTTTTAGCATTATTTCCAGTATTACAATAGTGTTTGATCCTTACCAACTTATCTGACTTTGACTTGCAAAATGCAAAGACAGTTACCTTTGGAAAGATGTCCACCTTTTTTCTTGAGCTGTGGCCTTTTTTCTTGGTTTGTGGCTGCTGCAGCTCTTTGTGTATAGAACAGTTCTTTTGTCGGGTACTGTGGTTCTTTAATAGAGAATGTTAAGGTTTGCAGTGGAACTGAGCATTCTTTAAATGCATTAAAGTAAACCACAGCATTCCATATAAAACTAGATTATACATATTCTTAATCTGAGCTGTTCTAGTCCCTTGAAATGCAAAAAGCTTAAGTAGCTCCTCTGAGAAAATGTGTATGCAAAAATATGTATTAATTAGACCTTTAAATGAAGACCTTTTGTGCACTAAAAATTAGAGTTATCTTCAGATTTATATCTTCACTGTGAAAGCTTTAGGCTTTTTTTCTTACGGAAGAGCTGCAATCTGAATGTGGTATCTTCTGTCCTAGATGGGGAAATATTAATGTAGAGGCTTATGTATGATACTGTAACATAAACTGTTTGAGGAAAAAACTCAGATATTCAAGCATTTATAAAAAGTTACTATAGATACTTAAATGAAATGCAGGGAATGCAAGTTCTGGGCTGTAAGTGCCTGACTTGCAATTGGAGGACACCTGAGACGCAATTTAGATGTTGCATCTGATCCATTTGTAGGGACCCATACTTAACAGGCTGCTGCATTTTTAAATCCTTTTTTAGGGGTTTAGCTGTAAATGTTTTAAGCTAAATGGCTTAGTGTGATCTAGGAGACTTGATAGGACCTGGTATAAAGCTGTTGTTTTTTAGAATTATACTTTTGTCATTTTGCAGTTTTGCCTCATTCACTGCATGCCTCAATAATGATTTATCTGAAAGCCCATTAGCTCTACATATCTACTGTGTTACTTAATCTATGTGCCAATTACAGACGTTCCACTAAGTTCCTTTTATGGTATAGCCTTGGTAAGTGGAATATGAAAGGATATACTGAAAAGTAATCCTGTGAGTAAATTTTAGTGTAGAAAAGCAAGAATTCTAGTTATCCTGGTTAATTTGTGGATTTGCATAAATGTTTGAGGGTTTATTGTAGCTTATTTTAAGCCTGGTTAACCCCAAATTTATAATATTGAAGCAATCTTTCCTTGACTGTGCACAGGCCAAAGTGGCATCCCTCCAAGAGCTTCTTAATACTCCACTACCTAAAATTCTGCCAGGCATCTCAGAATCATCTCTCCTGTGTGCTGCAGACTTTACAGGTAAGTAATATACAAGGGTGATAACTGTGAAATAGTGCAGGTTTTTACAGCTCTGTATATAAATGTTTTTATCCCGTTTTCCAATAAACTGTATTAGCTTATCCATAGTCCATGGCAAAGAAGGGCCTCGCTTTCTCAGCTGAAGAAATCATGTTGAAGCTGAAGGAGTTATAAGGCCTTCTGAGGAAGGTTACCACATACTTAGGGAAGGCATAAGTCAAGTGGCAGTTCTACAGGCTCCATTTGTCTATACTCATGTCTTAAGGCAGGCAAAGCCTTAGCAGAAATTCTTAGGTAAAAGAAATATGAGACACTAGGTCTAGCTTTGGCATAGGAACCACTAGCATCATTATAGGTAGTTAAGATAAAGTACCAGTGGTTCCTCTAGCAACTCTTCTGTTGTTTCAGTGGTTTCCTACCACTGGGCTCTTGAAACATGGCTGATATTGCAGCTTCTGGCTTATTTAAGATAACTCGGAGGATTAGTAAGATAGTTTAGATGGGTAACAGAGCAATCGAGATGTGAATAGAGCTTACGTAGACTGGAGATAAATAATGCAAGAGTGGTTTGACTTGGTGCAGCTCATTTGCATTGTACATCTTGGAGTTAGATGATGGTGAATGGACTTTTGCAATTTACAATATATGCAAGGGCCCCATGCTATAATACAGTAACTTTGTATTAAGAAAATATTTTGTATATGTAAGTAAAAGTAATATATATTTATCTCAGAGCTGAATGTTTAAAGCATTGTGAAACCTGCCTGATGTTTTGCTTGCAGCATCCGCAGCACCTGTTGTAGAGGCACCCCAGCAAGCCAGTGAGATAGTTCAATTCACAGGACAGAGACTGAACTCTAAAATGCAGGTTTACTCTGGCTCTAAGGCAGTCTGCCTTTCGAAGATGCTTACACTGCATGAGCAGTGTGTCCGCATGCTTCACAACAATATTGAGTGTGAGTACTTCAGGGGATGTATAGCACTTGTCACTCTAAGGGTATGAGATGTTTTTCTCCATGCCAGCCACTGGCCTACTAAAATATATTGTCCCTCCCTACAAATGGTGACTTGGAGCAGGTTGAAAGGCCCTTGCAGAAATAGATTGATGACTGTGCTAAAATGTAGCTTTGTTTTGAAAGTTAAAAATTTTTAAAGGTCCAAGTTTTCTTAAAATAATGTCCTAAAAATTCTAAATGTATAAATTCTGTCCTAAAAATTCTGCCCCTCCTCCCCCCTCCCCATGTTTGTTGTGATCAAGATATTATTTTCTTCCTTGCATAGGCAGAGGAGGAAGTGATGAGTATTAGTAAAGATGGGGGAATAGCTAATCAAAGATGCTTTATCCATCCTCAAGTATAACTGCTAGTCAGTATGGAACTGCTGATTTATAAATATTTTCATAGCCTGACAAAGAATATTGTGTTAGTGCTAAGTTAAAAGTTAAAATTAACTTGTGTTTTTATTTTTGATCTGAGTGGTGATATCTATGGAGTAAAATAAGTGCAATACTGAAAGTACTGTCCTCTTTTGTAGTGCTACAAGAAGCAGGAGATGTGCCCTTTGAAATTCTTGAGCCTGTACTAACACGTTGTACACCAGAGCAGTTGTTTCGAATAGAGAAATGTAATCTGGTAAATTCTGCCTTGTTAAATTTGGGGAACCACAGTTCCACAACTTCACGAGCTGCACTGGTTTTCTGTCTCTTGCATACTAATTTCTTTGAATTCAGCTGTCATCATCAAGTCTCCCTCTCAAGCTTAAAACATTCAGGAGAATTACTACTGATGACTAAGTGAAAGACAGGGTGTAAAGAAGAGTATTTCTGTTTCTAAACATAAGAAAGACAAAAAGATGACCGATAGTATTTACCACTGAAATACCTGGGAAAGTCAGAACCAACTGTTTTCAAGTTGCAAACTAGTAAGCCTGCAAAGCTTATTGATCAGGAAGTAGCTGGGGTGAGATTTCATGTGTGTGATAGATTTCTTACCTACCCTGTCAGGACCTGAGCTCCATGACACACTTGGACATTGATGTTCTGAGTGTGCAGTCCTTCATATGGCAAGTTAGCCTTTCTTCTGTGTGCTTCAAGTTGAGAGCCCAAGGGGCCTGAGCCTGTGCTGCAAACTCAAGTCTAGCCTGTAGGCATGGCTCACTGACTCCAGCTGTGCTGCTTGAAGCTGTGGGATTTCCAGGCTGTAGTCAGTGTCCCTGCATGGTATAGCCACGGTGGGAGTACCTGTGTCAGCACTTGCGGTGGGATTTGTTCTGTACCTTCTTCCACCAAAGGTTTGGGTTGTGCCTGTTGGCTCAGAGAACAGGTACTCTTGAGAATGTTATTTTTAAATCTCTGAGTTAAGATATCTTGTGTTCGAATTAGATGTTTATAAAAGAGACTGACCACTTGTGGAAGAAACACTGCCAAAGAGACTTCAAAAATGAGAGCCTTCTGGAATATGAGTCTTGGCGTGAAATGTACTGGAGTCTGTTTAATCAGAGAGAAGAAAAACTGAAGATCCTTACAAAAAATATTCTTTCAGCTCAGTCTGAGAAACCAAAAGGTAAAATCTCTGGTTAGCTCTTCCACTTATAAAACCCAATCTCTTCTGCTGTTCTTGACAATATGTTTGGTTTAGTGATTTATTTGCAGTGAATGCTAATGATGTACTTCCAGGAGAAATCATCAAGAACAAACACCATTACTCTTAAATTAAAATTTTCTTTCAAAGTAAACACAAATACAATATGTTGGTGTATCCTGCAAATATTATGCATTAGGCAAGTCATACCTTACTGGTTGGACTAAGGATTCTAAGCAGCAATGAAAAGAGTTTTGGACATAAAGGATATGAAAAGCAGATATGTATCCTCTGCTCCTTGCTTCTATATTAGGCAGGCAAGTAAAATTGGCTTATGTGAGTGGTGCAGCAAAACCAGCTAGGAACATTTGCCGACAGCAAGAAATCCATGGGCCAGCAGGATCTGTCATCCAGCTTCATCCCACAGAAAAGTGCAAGTAAGTGCTATGTACTATGCTTTTAATTTGAGTTTCTGTCTTTGTCAGTTCAAAATCGTACTTGAAAAATAATTTTCAAGTTCTGAATAACTCTATTTACTTTTCTAAGTGGCTAGTAGCTAGAAACAAACTTGCATTTTAAGTCTTGTGTACTTCTCTATCATGTGTATATTGTCATTGCACATTTCTGAAAAGTGACATTGAATTCACCTTCCCATCTGGATAAGTGGATGCTGTTTCTTTTTTCCAAATTGCACTAAATCTGCTTGGCAACCTAGGGCAATTCCATTGTTGGTGTTTTGGGTCTATAAACCTGCCTAGTAGCCTCACATGTTCTCCTGCTTTGATAAAATCCCAGTCAGCTGCCTGGTGTGATACAGCTAACCACAATGAACCTCAGGAACTTTTAATACTTTCTTTTCCCCTGTGAATTTCAGAAGCTTAGTCAAACAGCCTTGCTGATCAAGGTGGTTGTAAGTATGGGTTAGGAAAGACAGTCTGGATGTAAGAATTTTCCTAAACTTGGCTTTTAAACCAGATAAATTTTCATAACTGTGCCTTTATCTGGTAAGGTTTTTAAGGTTCTTTCCATACTGTTGCAATTTCCAAGGAAATATAGTCCCCCACCAAGGGAGTAGCTTAAGGCACTTTGAGTTGCACTTTTGCTTTCAGCTGCTCTGTGGGAGGTTGATTCTGTATTGTGACAGACCTGCCTTTCCAGTTTAGGTGCTTCAAGTACAGTAGCGTGCAAGTATATATGTCCTTTGTGCTCCAGTAGTCTCTGGACCAGTGGCTGAATGATGAAGACCAAGCCTGCATGATTTTTTTTTTTGTCAGACATGAAAGAAGCTGTAGGAGGGTCGTTAGTTTGCCTTCTTGAGAACCAAAGGGTTTGTTTAGGCATGAGTTAAACTTCACTGCTTTGACCTATTGGTTTTTGAAGCTGCAGAATTTGTACGGCTGAAATTCTCACTTGAGAAGCTGATCTTGCAGGAGCTAAAAATCCTGCTAAGGATTTGCATGCAGATATGCAGATCCTCAGAAGGCTGCTATTCTCACTCAGCCTGCAGTGGTATGAGTGCTGTTACATTTGGTGATGTTGTGCTGATACTTTAATGCTATGTTGGGTTAATGGTCTTTAACAGGGGGCATCAGCTTTATATATGTATCTGCCTCAGTCCTTGTCTTGTTGATTGAGGATTACATGATGTTTAGTTAGTTATTGTGCCTTTTGCTAGTCAGTTACAGAGGTTTTGGTTTTAAGTATTTGCCCTCATTTTCTGTCAATGAGCTAGTTAGCAGTTCATCTGTGTTTAAAGAGGAAAATAAACACAAGGTGTGAAACAGAGCACAGGGCTATATGAATCACAGTGGTATTGCTGGCCATTTTGGTTTGTCACAAACTGATCTTTTAATTTTAAAAACTAATAAGAGACATGAAATCTTTTAAATGTAATATTTGTTCAAGAATTAAAATGGAAAAGATCCTCATCTGTGATCCCTTCTGACCTGAATTATCTTATGATTTTGAAATGTATAAAGTTTCTTAAATATATCTAATCAGGCTGTTGTTTTTGGTTTGTTTTTTCTTTTTTTTCAAAATGAGCCAGAGCAAATTATATTTGCTTGAAGCTTAATATTAAATACTAACTTTTTGCTTACTTACTTGTTTTAAAAGAACAGGAATTCTGGAAATGAGAGACAGAAATAACACATTATCAAATCTGTTACCTGCTGGCAACAGTAGAAGTTCTAGCTCAGGTGTCATGATTCAAAATGGAAAGAAGCCTACCAAAAGTAAGTGCCATTTCCTAAGATGATCAATTTAATTGTTTTAATCTTCTGTCTACTAATATACACTTAATATTATACTAATACCATTTTAAGTTGCTCATAGCTGTAATCCTAACTGGTCTCTTTGTTTTGTTTTTATTGAAGAAATAGCACCAATCATGAAGAAAACTTTGAAATCACTGAGGAGTTGGACAATGATCAAATGAGGCTGTGTATTTGAAGCTTATTTGATGTGACTTTGTGTATATTATGCTACAGTGAATGGAAGTAATGTTCATGTAAGCACTGTTCAATTTGCTTTAGTTAAATAGTTCTGAAAAATTGCATGGGTGAATAATTAGCAATAAATACTGAAACCTGCAAGTCCTTTCATATTGCTGCTTTCTTATTTGAATTGAAATAAGGTCAGTACACACTAATGACAAATCAGTTTATATGAACCTCTGTAGGTGATGTATTTATCAGTTTAAGCTGGTGAAGGGTCTGGCACACAAGTTTTGTTAGGAATGGCTGAGTGGTTTATTCTGGAGAAAAGGAGGCTGAGGGGAAGACCTTATTGTTCTCTACAGGTACCTGAAAGAAGGTTGTACATGGCTGGAGGTTGATCGCTCCTCCCAAGTTACAGGACAAGAGAAAATGGCCTCAAGTAGCACCAGTGAAGGTTTAGATTGGATATTAGGAAAAATTTCTTCACTGGAAGGGTTGTCATCATTGGAACGTGCTGCCCAGGGAAGTGGCTGTGTTGTCATCCCTAGAGATATTTAAAAGATGTGTAGATGTGGCATTTGAGGATCAGAGTGCTGGATTAACAATTAGACACTGATGATCTTCAAGGTCTTTTCCAACCCAAACAATTCTGTGATTCTATGATTGTATGTAAGTACGTAGATGAAAAAAATGTGGACTATACTCTGATTGGCTACTCTGTCAGTCATGATGAGGCCTAGCTCACAACCTCACAGCCCGTTTCCTTAAAGTGAAGAAGCTATTTGGCCTTGGATAGCTGTCCTTTCAAGAGTTAGGGACTGCTGCAATTTGGGGTTGGTCTGTGAATGGGTTTGATTTTAGAAATGAGATATGTCATTGTAGTTTCTTCTTCTCAACCAGTTCATTTGCATGAATTGTAAGCCTGACTTTTCCTTGAAGGCATGGCTTAGAAATGGAGGAACTCTATCAATTGCACTCAGCAGTTGTAAGTAGGTCTTATTACTTCCTTTGTACTTCCGTACTTAGAATTCCTCATGAAGCACAGGGTAAGGTTCTCATTAAACCATTGAGTTAATATCTCTTACTCAAAACACCTTATGAGTGAATTTCCTCACCATCCTATATGTTAGGTATTACAGGTAGATTACAAGAATACTGCTACTAAAAATGGCTTTTCAAGCCATTAAGTCATCTATACATAACAGCTTGTGCAAATGCCATGTTTATACAGGAATTTGAAATCTGCAGGTGTGTTGCTGTGTTGTGTTTTTTCTCCATGCATTGTAGCTGCACTAAAAGGAATGGAAGTTGAAAACATGCATGTTGAACTGGAAATGCTGGGGGAAGCTTTCACTGTTTCTGGAACCAAAACAAACATTAAAAAGTTGGAGAGGTTATACATCATCTTTCATACATACCTGAACAGTTCATCCCAGAAGCATTCTTTACAAGACTTAAATCTGGCTGAATGACCAATGTACCACTCTTTGTTGCTAATCAGTTGGTGTCAGAAGCTCAATTTAGCTGAAGGTTTCTATCAAGTGTGGTATCCTTTTGTGTAAGAAAAGACAAAGTCATTGGTTTGGCTCTGGCAAACACAGCTGTAGCCATCCCGAACAGATATAGATGATGGGAATATCCACTTTGGAGTCTGAAGGATGAATAGCTGTTTTAACTACTAGACCTACCTTGTTGACTGGCAAAAACTTTTCCTGTCCTTGTCAATGGTAGCAGAGTTATGTGGAGAGAAAATTTGACTTCAAGATTAGGTGGCTTTCATTTCCTCTTCTCTCTTTCTCTCACATCAAAGGCTCTAGATACAGCTCTGGTAAGAGATTTGCAGAGGGTGTCCATGGTATCAGATTGTCATCCTTACAATTTCTAATTTAGAAAATACAGTAGACAAACAAATCTCTTTACTGTAAAGTAGTTGGTGCTACACACACTTTAGGCTAGGGTTTTTCTTCTGCTTGTGCTGTGGTCTGTTCCTATGGATGCATCCCTGAGGCTGCAGTATGCTGGGGTGGTCTGGGAATGCATCTTTGTGAGGGACCTGGTTTTTGTGGTTTGACATTGCTTGATGATACAACACAATCATGGAAGTGAATTCAAAGCCAATTTCAAAAGCATACCCTTTTAATCTGAACTAGAATGCTATGTAGATGCTTCTACAGTCTCCTGCCTTCCATCCCTATATACAGTTACTCCAGTACAGAGGAGTTATTACTAGATGTGTTCCCAGCATCTGACATACCTAACAGTACACATGTGTTGGAGTATATTGGCCTGAGGCAGAAAACTTTCCTTTTGGTGGATGGGTGAAAGATGCTTGGTTGGTTTTGTTGCATATTCCCCAGGCTGGCTGTCACATGTTATCAGAGGAGACCTCTGATTCTTCTTGGATAAAGGACTATTTTCACAGAAAGACTGAATGTTACAAGTACATGATGGCATTCTCTTCTCTAAAAACACATTGCAGCTCCTAGTCCTCCTGAAGTATCTCTGGAGCCTTTTATCCCAGCAGCATAATGCTTTGCCCTCTAGGTGATAAGCAACTTCCATATTAATTTCTAGTACATTAAATAAGTAATGGGAGAAAAATATGGACACAAAAGGAATGTCCTGCTGTTGTGGAAAAGACCACAAATGTGTGGTTCTTTTTTTTCTTGAGCTTTTTTCATTCAAGCATAGAAACCACTTTCCCCTTCCCGACAGTGTTTCATAGCATTTAAGAAAGTTTTCCATCCTGTTAGTGGTTGGACCCAAGAAGAAAGATTGGCCTGACTGCTATACCACTTAAAAAAGGAGGATGTGTGATGTTGCCATCTAAAAAGTCCCTGTGGTAGGAGAAGCAAAACAGTTTTGAGGTGAAGTGTTTGATCTTATGAGACCCTGCTCAGAAGGCATGTGAATTCCAGGAGCTAAGCTCTTCTTGGGGGCCTCATAGCTGTTTCTATGTTAGCTTGAGTCCTGGGCCAAGGCCAGAACAGGTGGTGTAGGGTTTGGCATGATCCTTCTGGAAGAATTTATAGATATCAGTGTAGTGCCCCATGCATGCTGTTGTCAGTTGTTGCTGTTCAGGGATCAGTATCTGAGCTGCTGCTAAAGCAAGGCACATCTGGGATCCTTGTGAGCAGGGAGATTGTTACAGCTCTGAGCATGATGCCATTGACTGTGTGGTATCTGGGGATGTCTGAGGATTTCTGGTAGTTATAGGAGAACCTCAGCAAAGGGAACAGAAATCCTCTCACACAATGCAGATCTCAGACTTGCCATCTGAAAGCTTGGCAAAATGTCTGTGCCAAGGTTTAGTGTGGTGAAAAATGTTGATGCACTGATGGATAAGACCATCCTCTTTATACTGCTTTTGGGGAAAAAAACAACCAACCAAAACACCACTCAACAAAAACCCAAATCACTCAGTGAGAGTTGTCTTGTTCTTTTGTTTTTTATTTCCTTTCCCTGCCCTTCCTGTAAAGACAGGAGAAGTTTTTGAGTAGGTGATTGAAGGCTTTGGTTAGCTTATTGTCTCCCCTTTCAGCCACCTCCAGCATTGACCAGAGGTGAAATTTATCAAGATTCTTTTCCTGCAGTTGTAACTAGTTCCTGCCCGTGGAGGAACAAGTCTCTCCTGGATCACCACAATGGCAGAAATTATCTTGGGTTTGTTTATTTGGAGGACAAATATATAGTGATTTTATTTTTTTTCTCACTTATTTCCATATGAGCAATTCTTCCCTCCAGCTCCCAAACCATTTCCTTTCCGATCTGCTGAATCAGTTGGAGTGGAAAAAGAGTTGTGTTGGGTTCTTCTGATCAATTATATTTGATCCAGTGTTCAGCATTTCTTGGTGTGATCTCATTTGCCTTGGGTTTTCAATGGTCTCTGTTTTGGGTACCATTGTTTAGCAGTGAAACCTTTCAGGAAAGTGATGGAATCACTCTGCAGTTGTGCTGCATGACATGAGAATGGGAACAGGTTGTTCTTCCTGCTTAATGGAAGTGATATGCAATGTATCTGCCTCCTCTCTTACGAATTCTAGTAAACATTTTTTAACGTGCTCTACTCAATTTTGTTTTGCACATGTGAGTTGCATCCTTACACAGCTATCATGTCTTCTCCCTCTCTAAACATTTTCACAGAGCTGAATTATGTTTGATTTTGTGGTACAGGTTTTTTTTTTCAGAATTCCTTTGATTACATGTCTTGGGTTGTTTTTAAAACTTCAGTCCTAATGGTTAGCAAAAAGGGGGCTCTGTGACTACACACATTATAGAGACAGAATTACAGGGTTTTCAAAATATAAATATAATTTGTAGAACATTTGGCTCTAAAATAACAAAAAAGCAGATGAAAAACAAGCATTCCCAAATGTGTAAAGGAATGTACTAATCCCAGAAGATCTGAGGAGGTTGTTTCCACAGATGGACATACCAAGTCCAACTCTCTGATGGCCTGGAGATGAAACATCCTGGAATCTGAGGTCTAACAGTCCTGTGCATTTAACCCTACCCAACTTCCTCACCACCGTGCCCTAGACAAAAATTATACTAGAAATGGAGTTTGGAAGTGCTAGATTTTGTAGAAGAAAATACATGATGAGACTGTCATAGTTTTTCAGAAATGAAGCGTCAAAAACTCAGAAAATAACCAACTATTTAAAGGCATAGAAATCTAGTTTCAGAATCCAAGGGTTTCTCTTAATTTCTGAAGATAAAACTAATTCAGGTCAAAATAGTGTGGGAGGTTGCAGGTTTCTTTTCCCCCTCAAATTTTAGAACATTATAATTCCTGCTTTAAATGTGAAACTACAAAATCATGAATGTAATCTTTGTAGCTTAAGCCCTAAATGGTGTGCTTGCTGTGGGAAGTGCTGGAGGAAGCCTTCAGCAGTGTCTGATATGTGAACTGTGTTTACAGAGAGGTTGCCTCTTTTTATCCCTGGTGACAGACCTAAAAATGGCACTTGCTGAGGGACAGGGCTGCACAACTCTGGGAAATCTTCTGTAGCTGTCCTCCTACAGAACTGTAAATAGGTATCCAAGCAGTAGAACAAAGCTTTTTATGACATCTCTAGGCCCTATCTCTGTGTTTGTGGAATTGCTGAGGCTGCAGAAAGAGATGCTGCTTCAGAAGCAGGAAAATTAGCTGCTGAGGCAGAAATAAAGAGGAGCAAACTACGGCTGGCCTTCCTACTGGAAGAAGGAATTAATCTAACCTGCAAGAGGGGAAAAAGTTGCTGAGACCAGATTGGGAAGCAGTATTCCCTCTTTTCAAGTTGCTGACTTTTCTGAGGAGCAAACATTGAAACACGCTTCCTTATGCTATCTAGTTCTGTGTATTACATAAGTTTCTTTCACCAGACAAGGCACTTTTGCTACTTACAGCTCTTCACAATGCTCAGGGTTCTCAGCTTTTCTCTCCCACAGATGTGCCGTAGACTGGGAGGGACTGGGATGGACTGGGATGAACTGGGAGGGACTGGGAGCAAAAAACCGGGAGAAAAACGGAAAAAAAATGGCGTAGTCAGCTCTCTGCAAAACAAGTTTTCCCACAGTTACCTGTGTTGATGTGCTTTTTAATACTTTCAGACCTTTCAGTCTGAAAGTCAGATAATTAGTCTGTCTCAAATTTTAGATAAACGCTAAAATGGTGTATTAAAGTGTGACTTCAGAGCATTAGTATCATGCTTGAGCAGTGCTGACAGCTGAGTTCTGGGCTTGGGTATTTAGAAGAGCATGGAGAGAATGAAATGTTTTCAAGTCCCAAAGGCTTTCAAGTCACAAAGCTTCTCCAGCTTTCCAGAAAGATTTAGACTTGAGTTTGCTTCTGCAGCTGAGGGATGGAAGATCACAGGCCCTGACCAGAAGTAGCAATCCCTCTATAATAAAGGAGAAAAATATTCTATGTGGCTTTGAAAAGGCAAAATCAGTATACTGGGCACCTCATTATAACAAGGAGGTGTCTGTGCCACAAGGTTTTGCTGTGACCCTGGATGTTGATCATCAGCTGATTAATTAACTGGCCTCATTTCAAATTCCTTTCTTTGGTAAGGTGCAAGATCCATCACTTTTTCATATTAAATTTCATATGGTTGGTGACTGCCCAGCTGTCTTAATTTGTCTGTGTTTCTCTGCAGGGCTTCTCTGCCCTTAAGGGAGTCAACAGCTCCCCTCGATTTAGTGTCATCTGCAAACTTGCTCAGTATCCCTTTCCATCCTGCATCCCAGTCATCTGTGAAGATGTGGAAGAGCACAGGACCTAAGATGGAGCGCTGTGTGACTCCACTAGTGGCAGGTCACCAGTCTGGTCACTGTCACCCGTTGTGCTGGACCCATGAGCCAGTTGCTTGCCCATCACATGTGTTTATTCAGCTATGTCTGGACATTTTGTCCAGAATAATCCAGTTAGAGACAGTATCAAAAGCTTTGCTGAAATCCAAGATTACATCAGATGGCTTCACTTGATCAACAAGGTGGGTTACTTTGTTGTAAAAGGAAATTAGGTTTGATGAGTGGGACTTTCCCTTTGTGAAGCTATGCTGGCTGTGAGCGATGACTGTGTCATCCTTCAGGTGTTTCTCACTAACTTTCAGAATAATGTTCTGCATAATTTGCCAGTTATAGAAGAGACACTGACAGGCTTGTTTTTCCTGTAGTTTCCAAGTTCGTACTTCTTGCACTTCTTGAAAACTGGGCCAACATTTGCCAGCTTCCAGTCAGCTAGGACCTTTCCAGGCTCCCAAGACCACTCAAAAATCATTGAGAGATATCTTGTGATGACATCAGCCAGCTTTTTAAGTATTCTTGGATGAGTTCTGTCAGGCCCCATAGACGTATAGGGATCCAGCTGGAACAGAAAATCCCATGTATGTTCAGGGTTGACTGGGATCATTAAAGGTTTCAGTGGTCTTAAGAAGTTAAAATTTAACATTCTCAGCAAAGCTTGGGTCCCTAAGAAGAGAAATGTCTCTGGTCTGTATTGAATGCCTTTTCCAGAAGAGGCTCTCCTGATCTGGAGAGCTGTAGTAAGCTGTACCTGTGTTTGCTCTGCTGTTGGTACAGCAACATGTCCTTCATTACTGAGAGCTTGAATCCCTTTGGCATGCCTAGCAAGAGAAGCGTAGGAAAGAGTTTCCTCAAGAAAACCTTAGAGTTTGATTTACTATGAAGTTAGTTAATCATTCAGTGTTATCAAAACTTTCAACACTCAGTGTATCTTATTTCTCTATAATCTGTATCAAGAGCTTTGTTGAAGAACTCATGCATAATGTATGAAGTGTTTTTCTAGATTGTTTAAATAAGACTGAGCTATATTTTGCATATAAGTCAGTGTTAAGCTTTGAAAACATGGTATCATTTTCTCAAAATTACGGCACTTACAGCACAGAAAGGATTTTTTCTGAAGATTTAAGGGAAAAACCAAGGATGTAAGAGACCATGTTTTTGGTGCTGCTGTGACTAGCAGCAGCTGTTTATATTTTTAGTTCTTGATAGTTAAAACCCACTGATATCTTTGATCTGGTCAGTGAGAAGACAGCCATTCTTTTTCACCAGTATTTTTCTCATTGCTTGCAACAGGAAGCTTCATCTCTTATCCCTTATTTATAATAATCTGTTGAATAATTTTGAGTATAATGGTTTTTTCCTAGGAGCGAATTGCTATAGTTCTCAACAAATGACCATTTCCTATGGCACTACTGTTTCCCTTGGAGAGAAGACATTTTTCCTTGGTGCTGTCTTCCTGGATGCCCATCCATTATTCCCTGCTTTCTCTGTCATCATGCTGCTGCTGGGGAATTTAGGGGTCTTAGCTGTGGGAAGAGAGCAAAGAGCTGCCTTTTCCTTACTATGTTCTGAGATACATCCTGCTTACTTAAGTTTAAAGGTTATTCGGTCTTTTTAAGGTAGTTAAGAGGTAACAGAATGTGGTAAAAATTTTGACAGCAGAAGGCTAACAGCATCACCACAAGACCACACTCCTGAGGGTGGTAAGGAGTCAGATGGGTACTGTGCATCCCAGCTCCTGTGCCCATCTTGGAGCATGGCTCCTGTCCCTACTTCCTGTCCATCCTTTCTGGTGGTTGCTCCATGGGCCAGGAAAGATTGTTACAGAGGGTTTCAAGTGTTGCAAAGAAGCTGTGAGAACCAGGTCCCTGTTTCCTCCTGAAGCTGGGTGCAGTTGGACTCTGTAACTCCTCTGGGCAATTATGAAAATTATTGTTTGGGTCATTTCTGCCTTAACAGCCCCTTTCCAAGAATGTTGGTGTACAGCTTAGAGGGTTTATTTCCTCAAGACAGATGCCAAACTACAAGCATGGAAAATCTGAAAAATCAGAGAAACCTCTGAGAGGTCAAGAATAATATAAAGTTTTTTCAATCTGTCATCCAAAATGCTTGTGTAGTTCTGTGCCTTGACAGGTCTCCCAGTAACATTGAGTAAGGTGAGTTTTGGTTCTACCTCTTTTTTTATACAAAGCCTGCTGTGTCCTTACCTGCCATCCCACCCCCAACCTCCTCTGTTCACCCAGATCCTGCAGTCTGTCTTTGTGCCTCCTCATTTTATTATAACCCTTCCTCCTGATGCAATATAGCAATGCTGCACAAAGAAATGTCTCTGTGAGAAGCCCTAGTGCATATACTCTGCCTTCTCTTGTATTGTACGTGCATGCTTTCCTTTTCTTGTTTTTAGGGGTGTCACCATAGTTCCAGCATCAAAGCTATTCCCTGTTCCTCATTACAGATAATTCCATAAATGTATTTCTAGTGGCATTTTTTTATTTTTCATGGCACTCGAACAGGAAATGAAAGCTTCCTAGTTTTAGAGATGCAGCTGTTCCTTGCTAATATATCCCAAAAATAATACAAAAAAATGAGGATGGGTTTTCTGTCTTCAAGTGTTCGTTCATACTTTTCAATCTGTTAAATTTGTTTTCTTTGCACTTTGACTTGCTGATTTGTTGCTAAGTGTGAGATGGTGCTTGTGTTCCTGAAAGCAAGTGCTTCAAATTCAGGTTTATAAAGTCAAATTTCAGTTCCTGTGCTTGAAAATGGGACTTAAGAAAATCAGAAAGGAGGCTCTCTCTTTGCCCAAAACCTGCCTTGCTCTCAGGTATTGCTTGTCACAGCTCAGCTTATAGCCTCACATGATGAGTGGGCTGTGCCTATTTGGAGGTGAGTAGACAAACATGCTATCCTCTGCTCACCTAACCCTGGCTCCCATGCCTTTTGGCAGGTTTTAAAAAAGGCTGGTCTTTTTTTGTGTTTTCACAGAGGAAGAACATTGTGCTACTTTATCTAGTGAAGACAAGATACTCCAAAGCAGCAGTAACCATGTTACAAGACCACACCTAGCTCTGGTAGCCTCAGCGCAGCAGTCTACAAAGACCAGAGAGCAATGTCTGTGCTTGTATTTTTTGCAATTTAATCAGGTGTCACTTGTCCCTGTTAAATAAGAGGAAGACTTGCTAGAGGGAAGAATTCCCCAAATGCCTTGCAAGAGCCCCATGATTTTCCATATGGGCTATGTGAAATAAATCCTCTTGTCACACCAGTCCCTGCGGTACAGCCCGGTGACTGGCAGTGTGGCTGTGGCAGGCAGCAAACCTCCAGGTTTCGTTCAGGAGGAGCCAGCAATTCACTTGAGAGTGCTGCTAATAGCCTGCCACTTTCCACTACAGAAAACTAAGTGCAGAAGTTTGAAAGAGAGTGACATTAGTTTCAAGATGTGCCATAATGTATTTGTGTACAGATTATAAGGCTCACTGCTTCTCTTCATGGGGAGCTTCATTGGCCCTTTAGACTCACCCTGTTTTTACCTGTTCTAAATAAAGCAGGTTGTTAGGTCACCTAAAACTCTCTTGCTTGCATGAGATAAAACATCAAAATGGGTGTTCCAAAAAGTTAGAGAAACCCAGTGCTGCCAGGACAGAAAGGTGGTAATGCTTACTTTAGGGGAATGTTTATAGGAGTCATCGACTGAAGTCCCCCAGACTTTGATTGGAGAATAAATCTGAGTGGAGATGTTCACCCTAAACACTGCAGTGGATGGGCGATTTTCCATTGCTTGGATAATCCCTTCAGAATCTGTTTTTTGAGCATCAGGAAAAGATCCTATCTCTTTATTAATGCCTCTGTAGTGCTTGTGTTGGAGTGGAATGGGTGTCAGCGGATGAGTAGCTGTGCAAAGGCTGTTTCCATGACTGGTCAGCAGCTGATAGCTCTGAAGCTGAACTGTTTAAATCTGTGATTATATGCAACACATGAAATTTATTCTAGAAAATTATGCTGGAACATGAGAAACACTGGAATGGCAACATGCACTCAAACAGTCAGATGAATTGCAATATCGCAGTCCATTAAGTCCAGTAAAAAAATCCGCTATCATTAAAGTGGAGAACCAAAGGTCTGTGATATACATCTGTTATTTCTCAATATGTTAAGCATAGTTTGTGTCCATTAGGACTTAAAAAATTTAAGCAAATCTGGTGAATGTATGGATGAATCTCTTCAAAACACAGTGTATGTTGCTTCACTATTTTCAAACCTCAGCAGGATATAGCCAGAAATTCTGTCTTATATTTTCTGTGTTCTTTTACAGACAGCTGGGTTAGATCTAGATCACTGGCTCAGGCTGATACAGACAAAATTATGTTGTAGCATCCAGCTTATATTAAAGGAGAATAGGGATTTTTTTTATTTATATTTTTGTTCTGTAGAGGATGAGCCATAGGTGCTACATAACTTTCTGAATGTTTTCAGCTGAAAAGAACAGTTTTTATACCATACAAAGTGGAAGCGGGGAGTACTTAGTCACCTCCAGAGACATCTAAGGTTGATTCTTATATCAATAATGGCTTTATAAACTTTGTACTGTTGGAAAAATCAAAATGCATATTCACTGTTGTTTTTTTACTTACAGTGCTTAGCCATTTTTTTCTCCCTGAAGTAGAAAGGATGACAATATTTTTGCCTTTGTGCCTCTCAGATGAAAACAGGCACTTTGAAAGCAAATTAGACACATGAGCAGGAAATAATGTGGTTGTTTTGTCATTTTCAGCCTGCGTACAGTGAGGTTTCTGTCTGATGGGCTGGTGAAAGGGAATGCAAGGATGAGTTGCTTGACAGTGTGTAATCTGTCAATATATAATTTGTCAACATATAATCTAAAGCAGCCTCTAGAGAAATAAGTACATGCTTTGTGGTTGCATTCATAATGAATTCAATGAAATGCAGAAACTTTGTATAAAGCCTGGATAATCTAGCCATAAAACTATGCTAATTGAAAAGATCTTTCTAATTTCAGGATGGAGTTCTTGTGAGCTGGTAAGGCTCTATGTAAAAAAAAAAACATGTCACAGTGCTGTTGAAGGAAGAAAAGCACGTTCTGGTATTCAGTTGTTTTGCCAGTTCTCTTATGTTTCAGCACAGGTTGCAACACCTCTCAGAGTTCCAAGCCACTTTTTCCTCACCTGTCCCTGCCTGCTGTCTGTAATTTAGGTGCGCCTCATGAGCTCCTCCGTGAAGTTTATATAATTAAAATAACCTTTGTGGAGGAGCAAAGAGCAATTCGGTTTGACTGGGAACCTTGACTTGACTTTGCTTAGTACAGTGGTTTCCTTAACACAGTGTAAAATCAAATAAGTAGCTGAGTATGACACCAATGGTCCAGAAAATATATAAGATATTAGAGACACAGAGAACAATAGTAGGAATGGGGAGAAAAATAGCCTGAATTTCTCACTCACTCTCTTTGCTTCCACATTACAATGTGTGAAAGACAGCAGAAGCTTATGTGTTGTTAGCCAGCAGGCATGGCCACCCCAAATGCCACCTATCATACAGGAACCTTTTAATGCTGGGTCCAGAAATCTATGTTGGATTCTCATTCTGCTCTTTGTAAACACCAACCCAGAGAAGAAAAATGTGTTATAATTCTGGAAGAGTCAGTCTGTGAACACTACATCCCTCCTTCAAAGAAAGTAAATTCCTGGTACTGCCCAGCACGCTTTTTGCTCGCCATTTCATTTTTATGAGCTCTAAATATAGTTCCCACACGAAAAAGCTGAAACATTTAATGTCTAAGATAGAACAATGTGAACTGATCAAAACTGGCATTGATATAGCCTCTCTCTCATCTCTTGCTCTGTGTTCCTGGCACCTTCTTTGCACCAAGCTGAGTGTTTTTCTGACGAAGCCAAGAGCCAAATTGGTAAAAATAGACTCCCAAACTGCTGACCAAACATTTCCACCTCCTTTCTTCAATCAGATCTAATGCTCATGTACTATATGCTGTGTTGATTCAGCATTCAAAACCAATGAAATAAAAAACTGGTCTGTTTCTTTGTATTTCTCATATCAGTTCGCTTTCCCACAAGCTTTATCTTACCCTCTTACCCCACAGCTGTGACCAATTGACCAATGCACAGGAGAGCTTGGGGGAGGCCAAACAGAAGAGGGTTTTTTTTGTTTGTTTGGTTTGGTTTTTTTGTTTTTTTTTTTTTTTTTTTTTTAGTAGAAGGCTCTAACTAGAGCGGTCTAGGCTGAAGAGTGGTTCAGGATGGTCAAAATTGACCTGAAGCCCTCTGAGAAATGGTTCAGCCTGTGCTCAGCTGCAAGAGCACTGGCAAAATGTGAGAGAATTGTCTTGTCTTGCTGGGGAGTTTCAGGGCTAAACCCTCTCTTTTGCTGATCTCAAGGGCTCACTTCTGACATAGTGGTATAAGCCTAAAGTAACTCATTGTCAAGTGGTTTAAGCTTGGACTGAAAGTGTAGCTTCAGTTTAAAAACATGCAACTTCTGAGAAGTGTATTGAATTGGAACTTGTCCCATGGAATTGGGGAATGAAGTAGTTCAGAGTGCAGATTCAGCTACTAATGATGGCTGGATAGTATTCCAGTTGAATCAGCTTGCATGAACCATCTTTAATGTGCCTGCATGAGCATTAGTGCTGGCTGGCACGGGAGAGGAGGACAAAGCTTTAGTAACATAGGCTTAAATTGCAATGACATTTTGTCCTGGAGTGAGCTGATAAGCAGGTTACATCTCTTCAGGTGGGGAGATTTAATCAATGCAACTACAATCAGCCTAGACCAGAAAAAAACAGTGGGAGCAGAAGGTGGGGATTTCACTGACTCCATTCCGTAGTCCAGGCGAAATCCAGTCCGTGTTTTCCCTCCAACCGAGTGACTCCGTTTCCATGTTGGAATGGATGGTGAGGATGGGAGAAGGTCTGGGATGCTCTTTTCCCTCTGTTTTAAATCGTTGGCTTTGCTGGCTCAGAGGTATGAATTCAAACACTACCTGAAAAATCTTGAAGGGATTACTCTGGGGCATGTAGATGCAGTCCAGAGTGACATTTGTTTAAAGCAGCTTTAGAGGAAGGCAGGGGTTTTTCTTCTTGCTGGTCTTACCCAGCTCATCCTGGAAAATCAGCAGAGTTTCACAATTCTCAGCTGCCACATTCAGTGCCAAATGAAATTCCGTGCCTAATGTTGGATGAGGTGTTTCTTTTAGCAGCCGGTGATATACATGTTATACGGGCCATTCCCCAGGGGAATTCATGGCCTGAAAACGTGCACAAAATCCAGTGGCCTATTTTCTTTAGATGTTACTTTAGTTTTTCATATTTTCATTCTGCTTCTCCTATGTTCTGTACAAGGCACAAACAATATTCTTGTCCTAGAACGTGATATTGTTGGGTCATGCATTACTGTGCTTTCATGGCAGGAAAGCATGAATTTGATCTGTTATTATTTTAGTTATTCTCCTACACTATGTATATTAATTACTATGTAAATTAATTACTGCATCTGGTCTTTAAATATTATTGTGATATAGGAACTAGGTTTAGGTATTCAAATTGGTATATCTAAGGCTAAATTACAAAAAGCATGGTGTGCAACACTTGCTGTACTGATTGGTTCCAAAGGGACTGGCTAGGTGCTGAGAGTTTCTAAAACTCACAACCGTGTTTACTCTCTGTAACTAAATAAAAGACCTAAAGAAAATGATGGGATTTGGGAGCTTGCATTTTTTTGTTTGTTTTTAATTGTTTCTTTTTTAATGTAAATATCAACATAAGACTATGATGACAGGGAAGCAGAGAAAGAAAGGTGGAACCATATTCTAGGTGTTACTGAGTGATTGGAGCTTGCCTCAGTTTGTTACAACCATGAAGCCCTATAATTAAGGAGAATTCACCCCAGCACAGAGGATTTCTGTCAAAGCCTTTGCCCCACACATGGCCTACTTCAGGTCTCTGTGAAGGGCAGAAATTCGGCACAACTTACCTCACAAGGTGAGGTTCTACCCCAGACATAAATCCTTGATGAAAATCCTAGTTATAACATTCAGCCACTGGATGTCCTCATTTTCAAAGGTCTGCAAAGGTTCATCAGCTGGAAAGCCATGAGTTGTTGACAGTTTGCAGAGCATTGCATAAAAATATTCTTGCATAAAAATATTCTGTGTGTATTGGGTGTTGCTAAACTCCAAGGTTACCACCCATGTAGCAATGGAAGCAGTTTCACTTATCAAGGTAATTGAGGTACTACTGGATGAAGAACACGTATTGTCAATTCTCTCTTTCTTTTCTCTTGTTTTTTGGGGGCTTTTTTTAATGACTTAAGAGTGATTTGTGTAATACCTTGCTTTGCAAGGACTTCCATCCCTAAACACTGAGAAGTGCACTACATTTCTTCATTTTTCAAGTGCTACCTTTGCTGGAATTTACTGCAGTTTTTACTGTGGCTTTGGACAGCAGCTTGTTTTTTCAAAGTTCTTGTGAATTCTCAAGGGTACATCCCTCTGCTTGCAGGAGTACTGGTTGTCTGATCCCACAAAGACTTTGCCATGGTTAAGTAATCACATTGTGCCTGTAGCTACACCTGCCCAGAGAGCTTAACTTTGCTTCCTCTCAGAATCATAGAGTGGTTTGGATTGGAAGTGACCTCGAAGATCATCTCGTTCCAATGCCCCTGTCATGGGCAGGGACACCTTTCACTAGAAAGGTTGCTCAGAGCCCCAACTAACCTGGCTTGCTTTTTCTTGCAGCTCATGAGCCATCATCACCCACCTTTCCTTTGCTGCAGGCTCCCCTGCCTGGACCATCACAGAGGATGTTTCTCAGCCCAAGCTTACCCTGCAGCTAAAGCTCTCATCCAGTCTCTTCATTCTTGCAGCTCTAATGGCATCATCCTCATTGCCAAACATTCCTGTCTTCTGATTATGATTTGACATTGCTTGTCAGACAAGCAATCCAACTTGTCTCCATCAGCAATCCAGTTGTTGCCTCCAACAGCTTATAAAAATCTGAGCAGGCAGAAAGATTGGCAATGAATTGGTCTGTAATGCACGTGGGTTTCATGTTTGTTCATGAAATGTAGAAAACACTTTTTGTGGAAATCACTGTATTGCTGATTTTTTTCATTTTGAAATTTCAAGAAAAAAGGTCTACTTCTCTTGGATTTCTGCCTTTTATTTCTTTAATTTAAGCTGCTTTTAAACCACATTCCACCAAGGCAGCAGCTTGTGCTCTCTAAACATTTGTTTGAAATTGTGAAAGCAGGCTTTATTGTGAGTAGAAGAAAAACTCAAGAAAATTAAGGCTAGGCTTCTTTCCTTCATTAGGGAAACTTACTTTCTGGTGTAAATGGACACACTTGCACTTGATACCTACCCTTCATGTACCAGGATGGCAGTTTAGTCCTTATCAGGCTGGTGCATGGGGCACATCTCCAGCAGGAGTCAGCCTCTGTATCTGCTGAAGTCTCCTAAGATGGCTGATGCCAGGTATGCATTTATTTATCTCCTCACTCAGTGGTTCAGCACTGGGTGAGTGCTTCAGAAAAAGAGATGAACCTGTTGTGTTTCCACACACAGCTCTGCAGGACTGGTAGATCCTCATGGAAAATTGCTCACCACCTGTGCATTCTTTTATGCCCACTGTGGAAAGGGAGACATGCTTAGAGCTGCTCAGGTGGCCCAAAACCTGGGGTGCTCCTGACAAGAGTCTCAGTCCTGGGATCTACTCCAGCTCAGTAGTTGTGTTGATTTCTGGAATAAGCCTAACACTCATGTGAAAGATTCAGGATACAGAAGACAGAGAGAAAACTACCATGGGCAGATCTGGATGACACAATTCTTGTCACAATTCTGTTACCTTAATCCCAAGTATTTGCTTACATTTCCATAACAGGGAGAAGAGGTAAGTGTAGTAGGAGAAGATTGCTCTGCAGACACAGTGAAGAGCAAAGAGCAGCTTCTAAAGATGTCTGTTGCATGAATTCTCCCATCCCAGAGCTGCCAGCAGCTGAGGAGCCAGGAAAGGGTTGACTGGAAATGAGCTCTCGCCACTCCTGCAGTGTGGCTGTGGGAGTAGATCAAAAGTCATGTCCCTGACCTAGAAACTGTGATACTCCTCTGAAATTTGCTCACCTTAGGCTAAATGATTGTCTCTCAGAAAACACAGCTTCTAAACTGCTTAGGAACTGGTGACAGCCTGCAGGCTGCTCAGCCTTCTCCCTCTAGGAGAAGACTTACTGATCCCTTTCTGTCATTCTGAAGGGCATTATGGGCCATCGAAACAGTGGTGGCAAATACAGATGAAGAAGAAATGGGATTGGAGTCCAGCATCTATGTACTGAGGTTGGACACTTTCCCTTTTCCTGTTGGCATTCATGGTCATCCCTGGAGAGCTGAAGCCTGCTGTGATTTTGCACCTACTCTTTACTCTTGTGGCTTTTGAAGAGCTCTTTGGAAAATGTCGGGTGCTGCTTTTAGAGATTGTAAAACTAGAGATTTAACTTGCAGTGATGAAAAGAGATTAAAGGTTTTGCAAGCAGCAAACCCAAGATTTATAGCAAACACAGAGGATTTCGCTTCCTCAGTACAAAAGCTCTGCTGCAGCTCAAAATCAATAATTGATCTATTTCCATTTACAGATACATCTGCACTCGGTCAGACTAGGAAACCTTATTCCTGGGTGCATATTTTCCTTTCAAGCAGCTTGTACTCAGTCTGCCTGCAAATGTATCTGTTCATCAAGTGGGCAACACTCAGTCCCTTCTAGAAATGAGCCAGGGACATTTTTTTTTTCTACAGGAAGCCAAGAGTAGGACTGACAAGACAGATGGAAGCTGCTGAACTGTTACAGAGCTTGTTAGGGAAGCACAGAGCCCTTTAAAGCTGAGGCTGCAGCCAGGATTTACCTCTTGAGAAACAGCAGCAATCCCCAAAGTAAGTAGTTTGCATGGGCTACGAGTCTGCCTCAAAATAAGCAGCATGCATGCAGCCTGTAAGGCTGAACTCCAAATAAACCCTTTTTATTTCAGCTGCAATATGGGATGACACTGAGCAAACATATTGTGAGTCTCCCCTGTTCTGTGCTCTGTATCCCAGAGCACTGACTGTGCAGCCACACCAAGCTGTGGGTCACACATCTGTAGTCCTTATATAAATAAAAATTCCTGCTATG